AATTTGGCTAGTTTTGACGAATTTTATGCGGCGTTGGGGGTCGTGTCAAGCCGGCTGTACACGTCCACAGGGTCGTCGAACCGGTGCTTCCTTGAGTTGTTGGTTCGTTCGTGTTCATGGTCAATCGTCCAGCCATTGACCGATGCAAGTAGAACGACTACATTTTGCCTGCCATGGCCCACATGCATCATTCACATCTGCCGTTGACGAACGCCCATGGCTCGTGGAGGGAGCGATGGCAGCAACTTTGTGCGCTGAAGGAAGTGTTGGCGTCCCCGTCAATTCGAATGATCTTTGATGCCCAGTCGACCGAGTATACGTCCGCATCGATTAACGTCGTGTCACCACCTTTGCCGGACTTGGCGAAAACGAAACAAGACCAACTCCAAGCCCCTGAACCAACGTCGTGCCAGGCAACAGCACCGTTCGGGCAGACTGTTATAAGTCCGACCGACTTTCTCTCATCGACCAAGACATCGTCCATTTCCACCGCCCTGGTTCCACCCACATCCTCCGTCCTGCCACAGACACTTAAGAGTCACAGTCCAAACTTGCACAGTTCCAGCTCACAACCTCGTGCAACGTTGGAAGCCCAAGTTCTCGACGAATTACAGCAACTCAGTCAACATTTACGCCACAAGCTCCAGCAGGCTCCGCCCGATGCCTCGTCCTCCATGATCGCAGAGGGTGCCTCGTATACGCTACCTACAAGCGCCTTGCGCCTCACAACAGCCCTGGATCGCTTGTCGCAGGAACTGTCCATGCCGCCCCCCATACGACGTCTCGATTTTCCTGACAACAAGGTTGCATCGTCCACAGCCCCGACATTCCCTCGACGGGCAAAGCAGTGTCAGCCTCACACGTTACACGTTTGACGCTAACAAGATAAAATAATACTCCATTGTATGTATCGTGTAGGTATCGCAGCGGTTCATCAAATACAACTACTACGTACTTCGAAGTAATATATATAACTCGGACAACAATTCTACTCCATCGATGGTGTTAAGACGTCGTGGTGGGGATCTCGACGTGGAACACATCTCGCAACATTTGGAGGCAGTGGCGAAGCTCCCCCACCGAAAAGTATAGGTCGCTGCAGTACGTATCCATGCTGTCGTACGGAATGCACCCTGACGAGTCTACGTCGAAACACCGTGCAAAGTCCTTGAACACGTCTTCAGCGGGCATGAGGCCGAGCATCACAGATGGATGGCTGGGGGCGTCATACGCCTTGGCCAACACCAGCGGCGTGCAGTCGCCTTTGGCTTCGACTTGCAAGTGGGCAAACACCCGCTTGGCCATTTTCACCAACTGGTCGTCCTTGGGCATGGCCAGACACTTCCAGAATCCGGCCGTGGACGCCCGAGCGCTTGTCACATCTTCGCCACGCAGCGGACAGCGTTGGCGCACGTCGTCCACGAGTTTCTGAACGATCTCCGTCGGCAACGTGACTTGAGCGGTTTGCCCCAGCGCGGCTTGCACTTGGGTGGCGGCGATGGTTTTTCCATACTGCAAGATGGTTCGGCGAACTTGCACGATGGTCACGAGTCCTTTCGATCGCAGCACTTGGCGCAACGCCCCCCACAGTCCATCCACCTGTGCCACGCTGGGGTTGGTGCTCATCATGCTACTGTTCGAAAGTCGTTGGATGACCGACTCTGTCGTGCGTTGCATGGCTTGCAGCGGCATGACTTTGGCTTCGGTTAGTCGGGTGGGGGTAGCTTGCGCTGACTTCGGAGGGTCCACCGTGTGATTCAAGCACGCAGTCACGTTGATCGAGTTGAGCGTTTTGATTGTCCCAGGCTGGTTCATGTACGACTTGATCTGTCGCTCCAGTCGTTCTGGCACACTGGACATGTTGACGCCCAAATCGTCTTCGACTTCCACAACATGGGAGTCGTTGACGAGCACCCGACGGTTGGTCGTGTTGGCACACCATCCCTTTCCGCCTGAAATGTGCCACGAATTGCGCATCATGAGCTCAAAGTAGTCGTCGTCGTCAATGCTGGCGCTGATGTTAGCGTAGTAATGCTCCCACATGTCCGGCGTGACCTTGGCGTCGTGGTGGCCGTCCACGTCAAACGTGTCAAGAAACTCCCGAAACACTTGGTCGGGTGTCTTTCGTCCGGCAATCACCTCGGGGTGCTTGGACGCATCGTACGCTTCAACGATGTCGCTGGGCTCGAGGACGCCGTTTCCGTTCTTGTCGATGCGGGCAAACGCTTCCCGGACAAACCCGAGTCGCCGGGAGTTCATCGGCCCTCGCAACCCCGTGATGAACTCTTGGATTTCCAGCGTCCCATTGTGGTCCAGGTCAAAGTAGTTGAATAATATACGCGCGTCCACGTCCGCGATCCCAAACCCGGACAGGGCGTGCTTGAATTCCAACATGCTCAAATGTCCGTTGGCGTCGGAATCCATGAGTTTGAACGCGCGGCTGAGTCCGATGAAGCCGTGCTGCGTCGCTTTGAGGGCTGCTTGAAGGCGCGACAGAATGGGCTGCACACCCACTGTCGCAATGGGCTGTTGAGATTGCGGGGCAACTGCTCCATTGGTGTTGTACGTCGACGAGGCCGTTGATGCCGATGTGGCCGCGCTTGCGAAACGTCCCACTGACAACCGTTTTCCAGGATTCAATGATGTCCCAGAAAATGACGACGCTGGAGCCATCGACAAGCAGTTGGCCGTGCCGTCGCTGGAATTGTTACGCAGGCGGCCTGGCCGCGTCTTGTCAACAGCAGCGGGGGGGCGCACGGAATGGTCGAGGACATCGAAGAACGACACTTTGGCGCAGTTTGCAGCCGTGCCAAACCCTTGCTTGCCGAGCTGGGCCTGGATTTGTTCGTATCGAGCCACGCCCAAATCGTTCTGGAGTTCCACCACCTGGGAATCGTTGACCAGCACCCGTCGGTTGGTCGAATTGGCCGCCCACCCTTCGCCGCCGGAAATGTGCCACGCGTTGCGCATCATGAGCTCAAAGTAGTCGTCGTCGTCGATGCTGGCGCTGATGTTGGCGTAGTACTCGGTCCATTCGGTGAGTGTCACTTGGCCGTCGTGGACTCGCGCGGCGGATTCAAATGTGTCGAGGAATTCCGTGTAGATTTCTCGATCTGTCTTTCGCCCGGCCAACACGTCCGGGTGCTTTCGAGCGTCGTACGTGGTAACAATGTCCTCGACAGTCAACACATGGTTGTGGTCCGAGTCCAAGAGGTCGAAGGCCATGTGGACAAACAACAGCCGCCGTTCGTTCATAGGGTCGCGGACACCCTTGACGAATTCGGACACGTCCACCGATCCTAGTGACATATATGGATGAGAGGGAGGGAGATCATATGCATGGAAAAGACGTCATTCATCGACGTACCATTTCCGTTTGTGTCAAAGTAGTCGAACAGCGCCCAGAGGTCGTTGGCCCCCATGTGCAATTGGAGGCGGTCCATTGCCGCTCGAAACTCATTCAAGTCCAACGTGCCTGATCCGTTGGCATCCATCTGGCGAAACCCACGAGCTAGGCCAGTGTACCCTCGTCCCCCACGAGACTTCAGCGTAGTTTTCAGCCGCTTGACGATTCGACGAAGCTCCTTGGGGTGCTGCATGTCGACGAGTTGCTGCTGTCCGGACTGCATCGACGAGGCTGATGAATCCACTTGCAAGCACGACGTCAATCCCGTAGACGCATTTCCGTATCGTTTGGGGGTAGAAAACACAACTGGAGGCGATTCTGGATCTAGAATCACCGTGCCGCGAACACGATTCGACTCGAACGAGCTCGCGGCCCACCCTTGGCCACCCGTTAACTGCCACGTGTTGCGCATCATGAGCTCGAAATAGTCGTCGTGGTCAATCACCGACGAAATGTTGTGGTAATACAGCTCCCAATCAGTGGGGGTGACTTTGCCGTCCTTGACATCCACGTCGAACGTGTCTAGAAACTCCCGAAAGATCGCGTCCGCCGTGCGCTTACCGGCAATGACATCGGGGTGTTTGCTCGCGTCGTAGCATCCGACAATGTCGCTTGGTTCAAGCACCCCGTCTCCGTTTCGGTCAATCTAAGGCCAAACCTTAGCCCAAGGTCACAGGCCAGGTAGATTTAATATACCTTTTTGAACGCCATGCGCACGAGCTGCAGCCGTCGTTCGTTCATGGGCTCTCTCACCCCGTTGAGGAATTCCTTGATGTCGATGATTTGGCTGTCATCCGTGTCGAACGCGTCAAACAACAGACGCAAGTCGGCGTCGCTGCAGTCGACTTCGCACTCGCGCACGGCTTTCTTGAATTCGAGCAGGCTCAACGACCCGTTGTTGTCGTCGTCCATGAGGCGGAACTTTCGACTGAGCCCGACCACGCCCCCCGCCCCCCGCTGTTTCAACGTCGCTCGCAATCGTGACAGAATCATCTTGGTACCGACGCCAATGTCCTTGGATTTTGGCAAGATGCCCCCCTTGTCGGGGTACATGTGGGTCATGCACGCCGCCGTTTGGGTGCTGTTTAACGTGGCATTGCGGGACGTTTTCCGCGCCGTGATGTTGTTGTTTGTGTGGTTCATGTCCGCTTGGAACGGGGCAGGAGATTTTACTGGCGTCAATGGCAAGTCGGGGGATACGGGCATCGGCATGGACGGAAAGTCCAACGCTGTGGCGAGCAAGTTCTTGTTGTTTAAGTCGTCGAGCAAAGTGAACGACGACCGCGGTGTCAGTGTTTGGTTGTTGGAAAGCTTGGATTGAACGTTCGATTCCAGGGAAATAGACGTCGCCGAAACATGCCACACTCGGGTGAAAATGAGCTCAAAGTAATCATCTTTTTCTGTGGCTGCGCTGAGACATTGACAGTACTCGAGCCATTGGCTGAGGTTGACGAGGGATGATGGAGGCACGAGCGCCGTGAACGATTTCACAAACGCACTGTGCACTTGAATCGGCGTCGATTGGTTGCCAAACATCAGGTCGGGGTGCTTGGAAGCGTCGTGGCTCCGAAGGATTTCGTCCACAGCCACATACCCTCGTTGCCGTCCATCCATTTGGCGAAACGCAGCGCTGGCCACGTCAAGCCGTCGGCCTTCCAATTTGCCCTGACAAATTTGAATACGTAGTGAGAATTTAAACAGGCAAAATGTCGTCGACGTACAAAGATCAAGTCGCGAAGGGTCAAAATGGGCATGGCTCCCCCTACATCTTCGCCCAGAAAGATCGAAATCGCTCGAATGTCCTGCGAGTTGCTGACGTGAGCACCAGAGCATACATGAGTAAGGACGGCTCACCACATCCGAGAGCTGGAGATTGTGGTTGACCAACGTGGTCTTGAGCTGGGACCTCGAAATCGTCTGAGCTGGAGTTGCCGCTTGCTTCAACGCCTGTAGAAACGCAACAAACCCCATCTCCGCAGACTGCCGCAGGTGACTGCGCACTTGAAGGACCACCGAGGCGGCATTGACATTTGCGGCGGAATCATTTTGCTTGGAGTTCCACTGCGATAGATTCGTCGCTAGCCCATTTGCCGCAGAGCGGGGAAGGATGCTGGGCATGCGTGCTCTGTGCCTGCAACTACTTTGACAAGAGAAGGCAGTTAGTTGTGCCATAATTAGCCCCCGTGCTATCAATAGGGGTTGATGCCAATCAATTTCGTAACCGATTCTATTGCAAGCCACTTACTTTAGTGCCAAGGCCCTTAACGTTAGTCGCGAGGCGACTTCATATACGGATATTGATATTTCGAGCAAGGACGAAAACTGTATCTGATGAAAGTTCAAGTCGACACAATGACCGTGGGTGAACAAAGTCGACGGCCGATTCCGTGCGACAACTCGCTCGAGGTTATCGCTTCACTGACTGCATCGTTGTCAAGTGTCATCGATAAAACGTGTGTGCTTCAGAGGCTGTGGGGCGTTGTGCATCTGGACAAATCCAAAATCAGCATAATGATCGATACCACATTGCCAGTTTTGCTGCAGTTGCGACTCTCGTCCCCAGAAGTCAACTATTGGCTTGCTGCTGTGCTTGAAGAATTCACAGCCTTCTCAAGCTTTGTCATCCATACCCAGCCAACCAAAGTCGCCTTCTTGAACATGCTCGTCAAGCTACTCAAAGTGCCCGATCCAGCGAATGCGTTTCTTGACTCCAAATGCACCGCGGCCAACTCCGTCGCAAATCTGATTCAAGTGTCAGGAGAGCAAGCAGCACACACGATTGTGGTCGATTCGGCGGGACTCGTTGGGCACTTGTGCGCTTTACTCCATGTCAAAAGAGAGTGCGCGCAACATTCGAGTTTACGGGCATTGTGGCGTCTGGCGTACTATAGCCCCACCATCCGCGACGAAGTGAGCAGCCACCTGGCAAGCGTTTGTGTGATCACGATCAACAAAGACATCGTTCAAATCGTGAACAACTTGCAGCTTATATTAGCGCCATCACAGCCACTGAAAGTATAGAGTTATAATGGGCGCGGTTAGCCAAACGCAGCCGACACGACACCGTCTTTGGACGATTTCGGTCCTTTCGTACGCTTCAACCAACAAGTGCCTCGCATCCAACTGAACGCATTGCATTTCGCCGTGTCGCGGCATACTTTGCAGCAAGCGGCTGCATCAGGAGTAGCCACCGCCTTGAGGTCGTTTCCAGCATAGTCGACATTTTTTTCTAACGTGCATCGCAACTGCAAACTGACCATTCGAATCATTTGGTTGTCGTTGCCACCATCGCACGGAGCCAATTGGGGTTTGCGCTCCTGCGGGGCAATGTCCATGCACATGCCATCACCGACATGAGTCAGTCGATTAGCCCGACGATGTACCAGCCACCTTTGATTGGAACTCTTAGGGTCACATGGCTCGAGTCGAACGTTCGTTGCGGCGGCTGACGCAACCAAGCAGTTGTTGCCATTCGTGCGAAGGCCATTTGTGGCCAGATCCCAAATGAAAAGTGCCGACTCTTGCTGCTGTAAACTCTTGAGTTGGCCATTCACCACCGCAAGTCTGTAGCCGTCGGGCGATTCGACTGCCATTGCGGATGTGGGCCGCACGGGTGGGGCTGACGGGGGCGAGCCGTACGACTGCCAATCAATCTTCCACGAGCCATCCACTCTCGACAGTCCAAAATACGTTTCAAACCCCCCTTTCGACGGCACATCTTGGTACATGAACCAAAACGGCATATCGCTTTGTTCCTTCTGGTGCCAACTGTAAAACGCCTTGAAGAACGCCGACGACGTGGCTTCGTTGGCGTCTTGTCCGGTCGGCGAATATCCTCCAGCAGTAGGCCACCCCGTTTCCGTCATTCGAAGTTTGGACGCTGGAAACTTGGCCTTCATGTTCCGCCATCGAGCTTCAAAGTTGGCCATCGGCTGGCCATGGCTGAAAAACGGATGGATGTTCACCCCCATGACATCGCACACGTCCGTTACATACGGGAACTCCAAAAACGACCCGTCTGTCTGCACCGTTCCAACCGGAATAGACGGCAGGCCAGCATCCACAAGACGTCGCTTGACTTGCTGAATCAATCCTACGAGTCGACCAGCGTCGAATCCCTGGAGCAGGTCTTCATTGCCAACATACACAGCCTGGACAGCGCTTGGATTTCGTTTTGCACCGGCGACAACCGCGGTCAGGTCCAATTCAAAGCGAGAGCTGTCGACTGGAATCCCCGTGGCAATTTTCAACCCCACAGTCGCTGCCACATCAATGATGTTCACTTGAGGGTTTACATGTGTCAAGAAGGTGCGGACACCGCCAAAGTGCTGCCGAATGGACTGAAAATCACCTTCGATCTTGCTTGCGTGGCCGACGTGGTAGCCAATTCCAAACGACGAGAGGGGCGGGGCCGCGTCTGTCGTCCAGCGGTGTGCACTCAAACTGAGTAGGATGCAACACAAGAGTCGAGCCATGGATAGGTGAATTGTGTTTTGAGATCATGATGGAGAAACTATCTAAAGTGTTGTAGAAGCGGACGCAGTGCCGAATTTGATCGTGCTTTACAACCATACTTTTACATGCGAATAAAAGTATACTAACGTTACTAGTCCAGTACACCTGCGACCTTTGACCAAACTTGAAGTGCTTGTTCGAATCTGATTATTTGACGTTCATTTGCTTGGAATGCATGTCAGTTCACTTTGGGTGCCATTGGTATTTCCAAAATCGTCATGTGGGGAGCTTGCTTGTGTTTAGGTTGGTTAGCCAGCCTCTGTGTCGTCGCCGATAGCTTCAGCATGTTCAAGCCCCATGAGACGGACGTCGACCTTCCAGAGCAAGTGGCTTCCTTGACATCGTCGTGGGACGTGAAAAAGATGCGCATCCTAGAGTTTGTGACTGCGCAGCATGCAGCGTCTGGGTCCCCTGGGTGGGCTCTAGCAGTGGTGCATCACAACGAGACTCTCCTTGCCCAAGGTTTTGGACTCAACGAGGTGGTATACATCAGCTACCTTAAATCGTGACCAGTAACGAATTATATTGTTGACTGTGTTAGGTTGCCAACCCAGCGAACCAAGTGTCGCCCGACTCGATGTTCCACATTGGATCGGTGACCAAAACCATGGTGGCGGTGGCGCTTGCGAAGCTGGTACTGCATATTCAAGTCGTTTGGTTCACGTGTTAATTCAAATGTGCATGGAAGGTGGACGAAGGTCGTGTGCGATGGACCGACCGCGTGACACAGCATTTGCCGTGGTTTACTCTCCACGACAAGTATGCACAGACGTACACAACGCTGCACGATCTCTTGGGCATGAACTCGGTGTTCGCCGAAGGCGACAGCGACTACCAAGCGAGCTTTGGTGTGTATTCGTCCGAGCGGGATATGGTCCAGCGCCTCGGGTCGTATGCCACCACACGGACGTATCGGCAAGGCTACGCATACGCCAACGTGAACTTTGCCATCTTGGGCCAAGTGGTTCAAGCCGTCACCAACCAGACGTGGGGCGAATACCTCACGCAAGCGATCTGGACGCCGTTGGGGATGATGCACACGTACGACTGGGCAGAGCACGCGCCGGCCGATCATCAGCTTTCCAAAGGTCACTTTGTGTGCAATGGCACTGTGGCAGGTCCGTTTGACATTCGGGATGCTTCGACTTCATTCCTGGCACCATTTCCCCAGGCCGATGGGTCGGTTGTATCGTCCATCCATGTATGTACGCCCCAGTATCAAGGTCAATGTTTAGGCAAAACGTGGTATGGGTAGGATATGGCGATATTCAGCAAGTTCTTGCTCAGTAAAGGCCGCCCTCTATTTGCATCAACACAACCCATCGCAGACATGATCACGGGTACGTCACATCTTTAGTTAGATGTGGCGTGGTTTTGGTGAAACTCAAAAGGGCGTTTGCGTGCTCCACTAGGCCACGAGATTCAAGCTGTGTTTGTGGGGGCGATGGGGACGTCGTGGGGCTACCACTTTGACCCTAAAGGGGGTCGGGCGTTGGGGGCGGGTTATGGCATTGACGTTGTCGGCCCCAGCATGTACCGTAACTTGGACTACTTTGACAAGAACGGCGACACGGCCGAGCACCAGACGCGCACGGGATTTGTGCCTAGCCGCGGCTTGGGGGTAGTGCTGCTGAACAACGGGCAACTGATGGACAAGGGAAGTAACATCCAGCGCTTGAGTCGCGTTCGTACGTATGTGCTGGGCATATTGCTGGACATTCCCCAGAACGAACTGGTTGCTGCGTGGAACGAGTCGGTGTTAGCGGCGGATGCGCTGTATCCCGTGGGGGATTGCAAAGCAGCAGCCTTCGATTCGACGCCTCCAACGCCCACGTACCACCCGTCCGACGCTGTCAAGGAATGGCTGGCGGGCGAGTACACTGCGATGGCCTACCCTGATTTTGTCGGCAATGCCTCCATCTATGTCCAAAACAAGAACCAGCTCGTGTTCAAGTACGGGACGTATGCCGGCCCCCTCATTGGACTCACCAACACGACGTTTGTATGGAATGTCTTTGTGGCCGTGGCCCCTGCCGTCACTGTGCGCATTGCCAAACTGCCCAATGGACTGCCGACAATTGCTATCGACGATATGTTTGCCTTTGTCAAAGTACTAGCGTAGACTCGGGATGATTGTTGTTGGTACTAGTAAGTTAACGTTAATACTGTACTGGTTGGTAGTTGCTCTGAAATTGCTGCACCAAATAAATGGGTTTCATCTATATAATTGCTGCCTGTTGTAATGTACTTCGTTACTCGTACTGGTAATCCAAATGACGGTAAGTTATTTATTAGAGCATCTCCACCAAGATAATTGATCCTGATAAATGGTGATCATCTATATGTTTGGATGCACTTTTCAATTTCAGAATTCATTGCTGATGATGGCGTGGCGATCTTTCGGCACATGGTCGGTCGTGTGTGCCACGTTGGCATCGTGTTTGGAATGGAACGCCAGGGAAGCCAATGCGTTGTCGTCATGTCCTTGTGCACATATGTCCCTGTGTCTCCCAGTGTCCCGCACTCCAGCGTTTGAAGTGTTTGCATTTTCTCCGTCAGTCAACTCGACCAACTGGCACTACTACGACTTTGACACGCTCACGACGATTGCGTGGAACTTGGACAAGGAGCTCCTTTGTCATGCCCATGCCCATGACGTCAAGATTGTCGTCCAGCACAACTTTGACGACGTACACATGCTGTGCGACCAGGCAGCACGAGCCGACTGGATTGAAGCCACGTACAACAGCATCGTGGACAACTATGCCGACGGCGTCAACATCGACACGGAGGTCGCGATGTCTGGCGCCACGGCCAAGTGCCAGACCCTTCTCGTCAAGGAACTTCGGGCTCGTCTGGTCGCGTCCAAGTTCACTCGGCATGCGCAGGCAAGTGTGTCAAGTCAGGGTTCATCATCACTCATAACTCCATTCGTTAGTAGATTTCATTCGACGTGCCGTGGGCCCCCCATGGCATTGACCAGCGGTACTATGACTGGGTCGGACTCGCCACCCATGCCGATCTGCTCTTTGTCATGTCTGTACGTACTGTACACACACCTTGTCTCATATCTCCGACTAAACTTCAATATGTAGTACGACATGCGAAGCCAAATCTATTACCAATGCATTGCGGGTGCCAACAGTCCGTTGGCGTTGGTGAAACAAGGGCTTGAAGAGTACATTGTCGCATATGACATTGCCCCTCGAAAACTCGTGCTGGGGCTGCCGTGGTACGCTTACAAGTACCCGTGTAAGCCCCACGACCAACCCGGTTATAAATCCGCTCGTCCAATTTGCCACATTCCACCTGTACGACCCCTCGTCACACATCGCTTCCATTGAATCGATTTCTCACGACTATTCATTGTTCCTGTTAACCTATTTGTTTGTTCTATATGGATAGGTTCCATTCCGCGGCGCGCCGTGTAGCGACGCTGCAGGGAGCCAAGTCGACTACAAGCAAGTCCAAATGTATTTATCCGACCCAGACTCTGTCCACGGATGGGATCCCATGAGCCAGTCGCCATTCCTGATGGTGCATACACCCAATGCAACTTGGCAGATTTGGTATGATAACGTCACGAGTTTGGGTGTCAAGTACCAGATGGCCCGAGAATTGGACCTCCGGGGTGTGGGTATGTGGCACGTCGATGCGCTGGACTACTCTGGCAAGGACGACCCCGTGGCGTCCACACTCGCCATGTGGCAAGCCCTCCGCAAGGCCGTGCCAGTGGCGCCAGTTTACAAATCTATTGATTAATCATATAATGCATGGCACCACGATATAATTGCCTAAACTTGTGAACTTGGGGAGACTTTGGTATAAACTATATAATCCGTGCGATGTAGTTCTACATGGCTTAGCTGCTAATCGTTGGTAAACGTGGGCTGGATGGATGGAGGAAGGACATCAATTAGTGTAAGGTTGACAACGACATAAGTTGCTAAAGTATTTAATAGAGGGAGGGTTTATTGTGCTTTCGAGTGAAATTTCGTGTTGTGATGTGGTTTCTCGTTGGAATTTAAATCGATTTGATTGGCTACTTCAGAAGAGCTCAAAATTATTAGCCAATCAAAACCTTCTCAATGCAATTCAACCAATCAGATCGATTGTGGATCGGTTTGGTCGGCGCGATTCGATTGCACCCTCCCCAAATTTGTATCAAATCGACAATATTCGAGAGTTGTTTATTAATAGCAATATTGCTGGAATATTTTCGTGATCTTTTTTACTTTTCTATTTCGATGATTCGACCTGGTCGGAATGGTAGACTCGTGGAGCCGTCGGTCGGGGAACTGTGGGCCGAGGTGTTTGACAACATGCCAGCTCCTCCTTCGTCCACGACGCGGTCGTTCTATAACCCCGTCACATGACTATATATATCATTTTCAAGACCATAGCACACACTTACAAGTAGAGTAACGCAGAAGAACGTGGTCCACCGCTCAAACTCTTGGGGATTCGAGGCCGCGAACTCTACCGTTTGCGACACGCCAATATACATGTCTTTTCGCTTGGGAGACCCGTGCAATGCAAATGTATACGGCCGGGGCTGGAACAGCTTTGGTTGGAGATTGAACGATACGAGTTGGTGCACTGGTACGACAAAGACATTGCTACAATCATCGAGAGTTAAAGGATGGCACTAAAAGGAGGGAGGCGGGCTACAGACGTTGGAAGCAGCGGGCGCAGTTCGTGGGCGATTGAGTACACGGCAACGTCCACGTACGTGGTAGACCCGACGCCATACACGACGACATACCTGGATTTAACGACATCAGGTCAGGATTGACATCTAAGGATTGACACGAATATACCGCAATTGCCACGCTTGGAGCAGACTCAGCCCCGTGAGTACCGACCCGACGCTTGGTTCGCTGACTTCAATCCACCCTTCAAATAACTTGACTCGCTACAGCCATGATACACGTCACAGCTCATGACGAGGTTAGTATGATTACGTTTTCAAGGCACTCCATGCACCGCGCCATGTTAGCGTTGTGCTGTTGTCCATGCAGCTGCTGCCGGCATAAATCAATGGCCGAAAGACGCTTGGCATTGTGAATGTACACGTCCATGTGCGCTGAGAGGAACTGAACCAGGGCGACATGGCCTTGCCGGCACGCATGGTGGAGGCCTACGAACCGAATGACCATTCATCTCTGTCGCATCTCTCATTAATCTCTGTCACATCAGGCCAGAGGTCCATTCATCTCATTCGTTTGAAGTATATACCTGTGTTCCCATGGTGGTCAACTGCGTGTCGATTGGCCCCGTGCTGCATCAAAATGCTCACGCATTGGACATGGCCAAGCCGACACGCGACAAGGAACGGGGTTTCCTGGTTGTGCCCTCGATACTCGATGCACGTGAGTGCGGTCACTTGGTCCGCTGTAGCGAAAAACTCCACCATGAAGCCAGCATTTGCCAACTCTGCTGCCTGCCACAGGCGCTTTGATTGCTTGATGGTCTTAGCAGAAGGCAATTCGGCTAACGTCCTCGAATTGCACGACATCAGCCCCGACACGCTTCGCCGCGCCGAATTGAAGGCCGACGTGATGTTGTAATCCTTCCCAGCGACGCGCAGCGTGACGATGTCCGACGACGCGACCGCCGCTTGTGTCGTTGCTGCTGGTGGCATGATTGTTGAAAAAGCTGCCTGCGAATAATGCAGGATGGTGGTGATTGGCGGGGTTACTGTTGCGATCGTGAGAAATCAACTGTCACGTAATTACAACCAATGGCTTCGCTGAAGTTGGCACAGGCACATTGGATTGGCTGGGCGCTTTGAATATGTCACCAATCATATCGACGTGCGTTACAGAATGACAGTCCAGCGTCAACGGTTTTCGCTCCACACCAGGCATGCACAGATTAGATTTACAGCAGCCCAGACTTGAGGCCAAACCCAACACGCATGCCGTTGGAGCTTTTCCTGTTGAAGAGAGCAACGGCTTCGTCATACGAGACTGTGGTGTCGATACTCAAACTGAGGATCACTTGTTTCCGCGCAGCGTCCAAGAGTCCTCGAATCTCATGGAACGACGGGCGTTGGGATGGATCGGGATGCCAACATGCCTTCATCAGGTCATGCAGCACTGTGGGAATGTGGGCACATAATGGCGGACGGAGGTTCTTGTGCACCACCACGTACGGCAAGTTGATAGGGTCTTGGTCCAAGTAGGGTAAGCAAAAATATAAATAACGTTTACTACTCCGGAGTACTACTGTAGTAGTACTAGTAGCTTGGAATTGTAATTGTTACTATTATTATTAATATTAATAATATTATACGTAACCGGTACTTCGTATACAGTATCGAAATGACGAATACTAGTATCGTTATTATACTGTACCTCTGATTGGAAATGCTTGAAAGGTTTACTGGTTACGTACAATTATTATTATATTATATACTTCGTAGTAGGTATTATCATATTTGCTGTACCACATATCTCCATTTAAACCTCTATAACCAGATAAGCTCAGGAGAAATCAGGTACGTTATAGGTAGGTGTATAGAAGGAAGCATAGTGAAAATTGAGCATCATTCCTGATCGATTTTGACCATAACTTCTAAGATATTCTAATTAGGACTCTCTAAGCATTAAAATCGGATTTCTAGTGAAATTCTCTACCTGGAAGTATACCCATTGTCAAGGCAATAACCTATTTTGACTGAGATAGAGTTGTTCAAGGCCCAACAAAGTGAAACCTATCAATCATTTCCAATAGGAGGCACAGTATTATGGTGCAAGAAAGCTAGAAACGACGAACAGGCCAAATCTTTTGCCCTACGTTTTTCTATTTAACCTATATGTTTTGGGTAAAACCTACTTGGAAAGGGCGTTAACAGTTAAATGATGAATGATAATTACAGCAACCATCATACAATCCAGAGGAAATACTCCCTCAATTTGCTTGCACCTGTCCATTTTGCTCACGTTAACGTTACTATGAAGCTCGCCCAGGCGTAGGAGTCGCTCACTTAACGTTAACAGTAAGTACCGTTCGTCGCCACTTGGATGTTTCAGTAACATTAACGTTAGCTTTATTGTTAGGAGCAGCATAGCATATATGGTAAGGGTCCAAATTCGAACTCTATTTCAAACAATCATTTCTCCGCCGCTGAAACCATGTTTGCATACAAATTTCAAGTACAATAGTTCAGAACGGAAAGATTCTTCTCCCTCTTGCGTCAGTATTCCTGAGTATTTATTGGCTGATATTCAACGCTTTTAGCTGTTTGATTGGTGGATAATCATAGAAATAAAAATAGAATCTGGCAGGCAAGGGGGAAATATATTGATGTTTGTATGCTGAGTGGCTGGGAGTCGTTTTCCGGCGTTTGGTGGTGTCAGTTGCCCAGCTCCCCTGTAAGATCAAGCCCGAAGAAGAACAGCGCCGCACGTCGTCCATCATCCAAGGACCGCCGCCGCCGTGACCCTTCGACTTTCTCTCTTACTTGTACTACCCGTCCCATCGACCTACCAACCTACGTACCACCACCAACGCCGACAACCCGACCCTCGTCGACGGAACTTGTGCCTTGTCCCTTTCTCACGTGGTCAACTTGCCTGCTTGGAACAAGTGTCCTTGCTTGTCGGCAACAGGAAACGAACCTGGTGAGTTCTAGGGATGCATAGGAGTGCGAAGCACAGCGACAGGTCAATGGCCACCACCTCGTGTGGTCGTTGGCTTGGCTGCATGTGGAGGTGACGACAACAAACGAAGTCGGTTATTGACCGAACTCGTTTTGTCGTAGACTTCAGTTGGAGCAATTGTCTTTGAACAAAGCCCCTCTCAAGTCGTGGAAACACATAAGGTTAGTGTGGCGTTCATCACGACACATGAGGCTCATTGTGCTCCGCCACCTTAGACCTCAGACACGATGTCGACGTACACGTTTTCGTTCACGAACGATTGGGTGTTTACCGACACAGAGTTGAAGGCGTCACCGTCTTCCAAAAAAGGCATCTCGTGGGACCAAGAACTGGACCTGCGGAAGAATGGCATCATCTTTTACGAGAGCATGGCCAAGATCTTCCGAGTCCCGCGCCAGGCCATCGCCACTGGCAAGCAGCTCTTCCACCGGTTCTTCATTCGCGAGTCGTTCACGGACCACGACAAGTACCTGGTGGCGGCGACATGTCTCTTCTTAAGCGCCAAGGCCGAAGATCACTCGTTAGCCGTGCACAACTTTGCCGAACACTACATCTCGAAGCGCAAGGAAGTTACAATGGAGTTTGCGCTGCGGTATCACACGGTGGAGATGATTGCCGAAGCCATATTGCAGAAGGAATATGCCGTGCTGCACACGTTGGCGTTCGACTTGGACGTGGCGTTCCCGCATTTGATCTTGAGCGACAAGATCGACAGCCTCGTGGCTCTTCATACCCATCTGTCTGTCGCGGAGAAGGAAGCACTCACCAACACAATGATGAAGAACTCGTGGAGCTTCCTCAACGATTGCTCGCGAACACCGCTGTGTCTGCGCTTGAAGGCGGACGAGATCGCCGCGGGCGCTGCCTACCTCGCTGGCACCATTGACGACACTGTCCCGTGCACGATTCGAACCAAGGACGGCGAGAACTGGGAGTATGTGCTGAGCGATAACCAGAACGGCTTGATTGATGCCGCGACCATGATCCTTGAAGTGTACGTGTCGATCAACGAGGCCACGCTGAGCCCGTCCATCGTGAAGCTGCTCAACATGTTCCACCCCTACCGTGGCATGGAAGAGTTGGAACCGATACCGGATGCGTTGACCAAGAAGGCCTCCATGTTGGACGACGGCGTGGACACGGACTTTGAGAGCGACGTGACCACCCCGCCGGCCGACCGGACGCTGTTTGACGACGACTGTGGCTTCGACGGCGTTATGAACGCGTCGAGGAAACGTGCGTTGGAGCCGTACGGGTCGCCTCCGTACTCGCCCGACTCCCCGCCGTATTCCCCGTGCACTCCGCCGTACATTTGCAGCACCACCACCAGCGCGAAGCGGCCGCGCTGCGTGTGAAAGAGGTCCGTTGGATCTCATATTTATGACCAAAAACCACCCACAAAAAATATTTAACCCACCACCGACCACCCTCGAAGAAAAAAGATTGAGTTTGTGATAGAGAATAGTTGCTAGAAAAAAAAAAGACCCCTTGTTAGGACCCCCACTAGATATGTTTATTAAATCGGCGGCTGCCGCTCAGCCAACCAAAACCCAACGAATTCACATAATAAAAAAAAACGATAAAGTGAATTTCGTGTTTTATCGATAGAGAATATTGGACACGTTCTGTTCATTCAAGTCAGAACGTGGTTAGTGATCATCCATCAAGGCATTGACTATTGACTCCCCTAGGACCATATGTTACTACTGTAGTTATAACAGGGGTGAATATGATCACTTTGCGGACACCGTTCGGACAATTTCAGTCGGACATACTTGGCATGGGTGAATATGATCACTTTGCGGACACCGTTCGGACAATTTCAGTCGGACATACTTGGCATTTGTATTGGACTTAAGGGGAACATATTTTGTCCGAATGAAGTGCCCGAACGGAATACTTGTGTATTGTATTAACCCGCATAAGAACGATCAGCTTTACCGTAGCGAGGGACGACAGAGCATCCGCCCACAAAATTGCGCACACCGCAGCGTAGCGGAGGTCGTGTGTATAATTTTGTGCAGGCGGTGCCTTGGCGAGGAGTGAGCCCCAATCGTGCACTTCACCGAATGTCCAATCGATTCCTCTTGTCGGGAAAAGCGGCAGGTAGGCCGCAGGCCGTGCCGCTACCCGGACAAGGCCTGTGGTACAACTAATCGCATTTAAGTCGTTATGGTATGTAAAAGTGCTCATTTACTAGTAATTATTATAATATTCATAGTTGACGTTCAAGAGTTTGAAGTGTACATAGTACTGTACAGCTGAGGTTATTGTAGCGGGGGGCAACACTGCACTAACTGTAAACTTAGTACAGCGCAGGGTACTGTACAGTAACTACGGTGTAGTTACGCAGTATTGTTCATTCGATTCGAAATTGGAGTGGGGTGCTCAATCGAATGAGCAGAATCACCAAATCGGCAGACAATCGATTGACCAATCAAAACACAAAACATGAATCAACTAGCCAATCAAATCCACTCTTCGAAGAATTCAACATCGAATTAGTGTGTTATTGAAATTAGTGTTATACTGGACGATCTTTACATGCAAAAAGAATACATTCTCGATCGATAGATTTGGCGAATCAGCACAAAAGTCCAAATATTGGGTAAAAGGACACAATATGCGGGATGCCATATTCCCCGCCTAAGGTGAAGTAAAGACGGTAGTCGTACTCGCATTAAGCTAGCTTAGCTGAGCTATAGTGGGCATATTATAGCGTTTACCGTCGCACCATTGGCGATTACATTAAGCAGTCTAATATTGTAGTACGTGCGAGATCAACCAGCCTACAGTTAGTGATGTACTGTGCCTACCTCCGAGACAAGGACTTCGACAATGCAGTGACTGACAGTGAGTACAAGCTGGTTACCGGAAGAATGAATGCGACGATCATGTCTGTACAAGATTGCAGCATTCAAAGTGGGTGGAGCGAATTGAACAATGGACGCGAATCATCGGACACCGTATTCATGCATACGTATATGCCTTAACGTTAGCTTATTGAGGCGGAGGCGTGTCCCGTTGAGTGAGGTAGATGTAATAGCCCGCTCCAAGAACCAGCGCCCGAGCGCCGAACAAGTACGCGAGCACGGCAAGCACAGCAAAGTAGATCTTTTCGACCACCACGCTAGGAAGGTTTAGGGCTGGAAATGCAGGGATGACTACTGATCCTTCCAACCCGATGGCCGTCGCAAGTTGCGACAGGGGATCGGCATTGGCGTTCGCACCGGGTTGCGGGGCCGCGGATGCTGCGGTTGTCTGGCGGACATTGCCTTGGCGGATGTTACCACTGGATGTCGATTGGGTGGCGGCCGTCTTAGCCTTGCGATTCAGCACCCTCGGGTCGTTGTCCTGCACGATTTCTCCGTTGATGATGTGAACCATGGCGATGATGTTACTGATTTTACTGCCTCGAATATGTGAGCAGTCGAGTTATCCGAACATTCGGATAACCCAACAAAATAGGCGCAAAATGCCCAAAAGAGTGACATTTGAATGCAGTGAAATTTTCACCAACCATAAACCATGGCTTGTTGAATCTCGCAAAATCTTTAAACATAATTGAGCGTAGCTAGCTTAGCATATATGCTCGCTATCTACTGTATTCGCACTCGTGTCAACCGGCAAATTCGTCGTCGACGGCCATATTGATAAAGCCCTACGATCAAGACTCAACCAACTGTACCTTTGGGTATATGAGTGTACCTCGGCGCACGCCATGGCCTTGTCAAACTGGGCCATCGACAGCGACGTTAGCGGTGTCGCATGTCCGTCTTGGGTATGCTTCCCCATCATGCATTCCTCCACGTCAGCACAATGCCACGGCTTCAACTTGGTTTTGTTGCACTTTATTCTAAAGGTCTGGCTGCTGAATATATATATATATACATGGCTTCAAATATGACACCAAGCTTACACTGAGCGGGAGCTAAAGTCAAACACAGCGCACTCGCCCTTGTGCAATGTCATTTCAAGCTTCTCCGCGTCGCCATCTGCTGCAAAAGAAAGTCACACTGTTGAAATGTCCTCTCGACAATAGCGTTAGAATATGTATATACCTGCACGATTTGCTCCACTGGTGTCACTAGTACTACGCAATGACGGAGTGGTTTTCGGGTCAAACACAAACACTGGCATCCACGGCAGCCACGTGGCGCGATTCATCCACGCAAAACGGTTCAAAATCTCCGTCTTCGAGCCAAAGAACGGGGGTTGGCTAGAAGGAGTGTCCTACGAGCATTCATAGTTTCCAATTAAAGCAAAACACGGTATTGTCGATTTGATATACAAATTTGGGGAGGGGGTGCAATCGAATCGCGCCGACCAAACCGATCCACAATCGATCTGATTGGTTGAATTTCATTGAGATGGTTTTGATTGGCTAATAATTTTGAGTTCATCTGAAATAGCCAATCAAATCAATTTAAATTCCAACGAGACACCACGAAATGTCACTCGAAAGCACAATACTTGGTCGTTGAACGCAGCATTTCCAACGGCTTTGGGGGGTGCAACGTCGTGGTTACGGCGATGCCTACACAACTTGCGCAGCACGAGCGTACATGGCAACTCGTGGAGGGTTTGGTTCTTGGCTCGGAGATCCTATTGACAACGGTAAAAAGGGAACTAGGACGGATACCAAGTTCCTACCGCGACTTCTCGCAATGCCACGCAAAGTTGCTCTTTGTGACGTCGTCGCACGGTTCTGCCTTGCCTTGGCGGCTTGGGGTTGGCGTACAAATCATGCTTGTCGCCCATCCACGGCTGCAACGATTGGTCGGTCGCCTTGTGCAGCCCACTAACACGTGTGAAATGTCCTCCGGCTTGAACGACTAGGACCAATATACATACAAGTTATGCGACTGAAAGTAGTACACGACCCGCAGGTTGCGATCCCGTTGGGCTTGCTGCAAAATGGTCACCACGCCACCATCCCTTGGGACTCGATGTGCTAGTTCACATGTTGAAAGTTGCGTTCGATGGCATATGAGTACTGTACGTACCTCGAGTCAAGTCGTACTGGTGGACGTCCACAACGTACGCTGGGAGCCACGGGTAGCCACGCAGCTTTGCCCACACAATTGAATTGGCTGCAAAGATGGCATCATTATCGTCGTCATCGTTGTGTTTCTGGCATGACAACCTTAGAACAGGCACATTCTTCGACGTGAAGACGAACATACCCCGTCGGGCTTGATTGGCGGCGACTCGTCCTCGTCGCGCTCATTCGCGGAAGGCTTCGTGTGGTTCAGGAAGCTCTGGATGACTTGTAAATACATCAAAACACTGTAGCCATCACCTCCACTTCGACGAGGGCTTGACGATACACATTGGCATGTCGACCAAGGCGCCAACTGGATCGGACGGGCTGCATGGCGCTCCATGGTTGGATGCTCTTGGCTGGATGTGTCGAGCTACAGCGCACATGCCTCTGTCAAATCGACGCTGCTATAGCTACGAGACTTACACTTTGTACGTGCCAAAGCTGTACACTTCACAGTAAGTCCCAGCTGCTTCTTCTGGCGTTGTAGGGGAATCAATCACGTCGCGGGGTGGTGGTGATGTGAACTTGTTTCGCCCGTGCACGTGCACAGGCCACCACAGGCCATCCTCGTGGTGTGGCTGCAGCCAGCCCAACTCGCCCGATGATGAAGTCTTAACGTCCATGTCAGTCTTCAGTCGAGGAATGGCTAGAGATGGTGGTGCTGCTTCATTCGGATAAGAGAATTCCGCGCAACGTCCAAAAGCATGACAGGTTGCGACCTCCTTGGCACTTCGCATGTTGAAGAAGGACCTCACCAAAAGCGTCTCTAGTATTCCTAAACAACATTAGAATAAAACTAAACATCAACATTTCTCGCTGTTTGTATGAAAGTATATTATATTCATAATGAGTTCAAAACTAGTAGTACTATCAATACTAGTACTTCACAGCATACAGACCAGCTTGTGAATCATCAAGTCGCTTCGATACTGACCACAAGTCAAGACTCCAAAATCTGCGTCCACCATGCCTATCATCAAGTCGTCAACTCCGGTGCACCTGCCTGGAGCCATCGTGTCAACGGATCACTACATCACATGCCCTCTCGATCACTTCACTCCGTCGTCCACATCAACCATCGATGTGTTCATTCGCGAAGTGGTTGCCGCCAAGAACGAGTCGAACGCTTCGCTGCCGCTGTTGGTGTACCTGCAAGGCGGCCCTGGGTTCGCTTCTCCTCGGCTAACCGCTCCTCCATCTGGTTGGTTAAAGTCCATGCTGACCGAGTACCGTGTGCTGCTGTTGGATCAGCGCGGCACGGGCTTGTCTTCGGCACTGACGGCCCAGACGTGCGGGGCGTTCCAAGGTGACGCGGCTGGTCTCGCCGCGTACCTCACGCATTTCCGCGCCGATTCAATTGTCCACGACGTCGAACTGTTCCGGAAGACGCGGTTCCCATCCCAGAAACTCACGCTGCTCGGGCAATCGTTCGGTGGGTTTTGTATCTTGAGCTACGTGTCGTTCTTTCCCTCGTCCCTGGAGCGGCTGCTGTTCACGTGTGGCCTGGCGCCTGTGCACGCGACGCCGCAACAAGTATACGAGGCCACGTATGCCAACGTTGTCGAGCGCAACCGGCGGTTCTATGTGCGGTATCCATCGGACAAGGTCAAAGTGGCCGAAATCGTGCAGCATTTACGTCGGACGCCGGCCAAGTTGCCCAGCGGCGGCGGCATCCTCACCGCGCGGCGCTTTCAAATGCTCGGCCTATCGTTGGGCACGGTCGCGGGCATGGAAACGTTGCATTACTTGTTGGAATCCGCCTGGGTCAGTCATTTCCACTCGCCTTCCGACCAAGGGCAGAGTCCAAGCAAGCAGCTCTCGCATGCGTTCTTGACCGCCGTGGCGAGCCACCAATCGTCCTTTGACACGAACCCGATGTACTGGTTCATGCACGAGTCCATCTATTGCGACGGTCCGGCCTTCTCGCCGTCGAATTGGGCCGCGGAGGCTGTCCACAACGCCATGGAAGTGCAAGGCCACGCATTGTTCAACCCAGCCCGCTTTGACGAGCTGGATGCCGCCGAACTGGCCGAGGAAGCGACCCTGCATCCCGTGTACTTTAGTGGCGAAATGGTGTTCTCGTGGATGGCGGACGACTTCCCCGAGTCCCTCGCGCCGTTTCGCGACGCCGCCAACCTCTTGGCCAAGAAAACCGACTGGCGGCCGTTGTACAATGAAGCGAACCTGCGCGACATAGCCATCCCCACGGCCGCCCTCGTGTCCTTTGACGACCTGTACGTGGACCGCACGTGGTCCCTCCGCACGGCGGCCCTTCTTGGCGACAACTGCCACGTTTTTGTGTCGAACGAATACCAACATGCAGGCATCCGAGACGACCCTAATCTTGTGGAGAAGCTGCTCAAGATGTCGAAATCCGAGCTCATCGTGCCCACCTAAGTTGGGGACGAAGTGCAACGTGTAGTTGGATTAGAAGGTTACTATAGCCTCTAGAGAGGACGCGTCCTAGCATGTCTTAAATGCCCAGGGAGAGCAGAGCGAGTTTTATAAATGAGTCTTATCGTGTAGATTTATTTAAAAAGATAAAAACTCCCCAGCAAGCCATTTGTTATGATACCGTTGGAGATGCTCTATTTTGTACCCATCGTGAAAACCGTATCGACGACTTTGCTTTCAATGACTCATATCATTGGTCAAGAGGAGTTTTTTATTGTCGAGTAATGTCAAGCCCAAAGTCCGCACTGAGCCCTCTTGAATCGACCGTTAAGAGAAAATGCCAATAGAATTGCCAGAGTTCCAGCTGCACGTGTTCAATCAGCGCCACTCAACTCGTCAACACAACAGAGAGATCATCACACTGTAGTAGTGGAGTCGGTTATCCAGTGGATGGCTATCGATATACTACCACCATTTTGCAGTTAACAATGTAAGTTGGACGAATGCCCGATATATTTGGCCGTGCACCCGATATATTTGGTGGTATGCACGATATAATTGGCCATATGCCCGTTTAATTGGGAACACGGATGTCGTGTGCCCGATATAATTGGCCGTGTGCCTGATGAATTGTGTCGTGTGGCCGATGAAAATGGAACTGTAGCAACTCAAATAATTATTCCATGGAGTGCAAATCAGTTTTGGCGGAAACATCATGTGGTTGAAGTTGGGAGGAAACGCGCGATGGCAAGAATTCGAAATTTATACTTGAATAAAGTATCGTTTAAGTTCATAATGCGCGCGCATTCCTCCCAACACTTTGAATGCTCATTATTCAAATCGCGTAGGAACGCACAGCATGGACGTAACTGCACCCCCACGAATAACTCTGGTTATGATGTCAATGGAAGTACTAGGTAACCACCTCTGTAGTCACGAGACGGCATACCTCTCTCCGCAAAGCAACGAGTCGCCGCAGCGTTCAGAAACGACGACGACTGCAGTCGGCGTTCGCCAACAGGATAAAGCAAAATACTGCTCGAAATTGGCTATATAAGGGTTGATGCTAACCGTTTGAATCGATGCGCGCTACCCCCTCGAATACTTTTACGGATGCGCGGAGGCCATGGACGACATGGAAGTTGGCATGTGATGCCGAGGATGTTGCATGTTTCATTTCGACTGCATATTTTTATGTGAGTTCAATTTTTGATTTGAGTTATTCCATTTTCATCTGAGTTATTCCATTTTCATCTGGCACACGACACATTTTATAGGACAGATGGCCAATTACTGGGGCACATATATCGGGCACAGGACCTTGGAGTGCCAAATTAAATGGGCACAGGGCTAATTATATCGGGTACACCACCAAATATATCGGGTGCACGGCCAAATATATCGGGCATTCGTCCAACTTACTGTTAACTGCAAAGTGGTGTAGTCCTTTTACCGAAAATTTTGGCCTTTTGTGATTCGCCAAATCTATCGGTCGATTTTATGTACTGAATTTTGTAAATAAAGAGTTGTTCTACGGTGATTGTCGTTTCATTCTCCATGTCGCTCAATTTACAAACACAACAGTAGTGAAGGCTAGGCCAACAGCTGCGTTTACGGAACAAGTGATTCCTCATAGTCCTAACGAGACATCCGGATAATATCCGGAGGCGACTTTTCCTTGGCGATACGGTGCGAAATCCAATACCATAAGTACGCTGGAACGCGTTTAGACAGCTGATGTGTCCTACGATCTACTCCTGCTTCTGGAAGCGGCAGCTACTACGAAAACACAGATAACTAATCAATCCATACAAAAACTATGGGTTTTGTATTGTAACGTTATTTAATCTAATAAAAGAAGGTAACTAAAAATGGACATACTATTAATAGTAGAATTCCTTCCATAGAATTCGTTATAGATTTCATACATTCGATATCCGGTTAATCATCTACAACCGGATATCTTTTTTCCATCTTCAATGTGTTTGTTGTTCAAAACTGCTCAAGATTCATCGCAGATGCCACCAACCTTCGACGCCGTGCTGACCACGCCCGACCTTGTACGATGTGTCACTGCGTTTCAACATGGCGAATTCCACGACATGCAGCCCTTTCGCCATCTCAAGAAACCATCGCATCCGTCGTCGTTCGTGACTAAACCGTCGAGATCGATCGAGATGTACCATGTTCTCCTCTCGCCGTGGCTCCATGAATACGGCACGAAGCGACTTGCACTTCTATTTCAGTATCACCCACATATGCAGGACATCGTGGTGCTTCACGCCGTCATCTTTGGGCACCTACCGTCCCTCGAGTACATGACCAAGCACTATGCGGAGCTCGTGTGGACGTTCCCAGAGCCGCTGCTCGACGTTGCCGCGTCCCACAACCAACTGCACATTCTACAGTTCCTCCATGACACGGACCATCCTGGCTGCACTGTCGGGGCTATGAACTGGGCCGCGAATCGTGGACATTTGGGGATAGTGACATTTTTACACGCCCATCGAAGCGAGGGCGGCACAACCAAGGCCATGGACATGGCCGCGATGAACGGGCATCTCGATGTTGTGAAGTTTTTGCATTGCCATCGGAAAGAAGGATGTTCGACCGACGCCATGACGGAGGCGGCGTGGAATGGACATTTGAGCGTCGTGAAATATCTTCACGCCCACCGCACTGAAGGCTGCTCACGGTGGACGATGGATCGCGCGGCGTGGAATGGACATTTGGAAGTTGTGAAGTTTCTGCACACCGAGCGACGTGAAGCGTGGACGTCTCAAGCCATGGACATGGCGGCTTGGAATGGCCATCTCAAAGTGATTCAGTACCTCCATGCGATCCCAGCAAGCGCCGGATGCACTCCCAATGCCCTCCATTTCGCCGCCATGAACGGACATTTGGAGGTTGTGAAGTTCATAACCGACACGCGAATTGAAGGCGACTTACACATGGCGATTGCCACCGCCACGCAGATGGGTCAATCCGACATAGTCAAGTATTTAGAATCAAAGCAACGACGCCGCTTTAAGGTGTAACGAAAACCTTATTGAATTCTTGAGTACTAACATATACTAGTGTGTATTTTGTGGCATGACTAAACACGAACAATGCAGCTACTTGTGGTGACTTGGCCAAGTAAATGGCGCAGTTGTCATTCTCAAGTGGTCTAGAAATATTTGACGATCACTTCGAACGAGAAGTTAAATTTCCATTCATTTCGTTCCTGGGTGACTATAGTACTGGTAGTACGGTGTTAAATTTACAGTTTATCCTTGGGCATTGGCGTTGGAAGTAGGCAGGGTTTGGATGACTTGAGAGCATCGAGTCGAGCGCGCAACGCATGAATTGCCGTCGTCATTTTCTGCATCCGCGCTTGAAGTTGGCGTTCCTTTTCTTCTTTGCACTGCTGCCACTGGGCAGCAAGGTCGTCGAGTTGTTCCTGTGTTAACGGTGTAGGCGACGCTGGCTCCTCGATAATATCAGACATTGGTGCACGTCCTTGCCCTTCCTGCAATGGCAATTTGCAGTGTGCCATCTTGTTCGACACATCAACGGTAAAGCAAGCCAATGACGTTACTGCTTTCATTGCAGCTGTTTTCATCGCGACGAACTGAAACTGCTTTCCGAGAATTCTTATCCGGAACTATATGTCGTGGGATTGTGAAAAGCTGGTTGCTATAAATAGGAAAGACGCTGGATAAACAGTACCGATAAGTGTAGACTTCTGTAACAGATACATTCGTCAGCGACGGTACCATTCTATTGATTCTCGACGACAACCCTCATGTAGAGGTATGCTCTTGTACGATCACCTCTTGCACAAGTGTTCATGTAGAGGTATGCTCTTGTACGATCACCTCGTGCACAAGTGTTCATTACATAAAACGATGTCGGCTACCTAGAGTCCCTCTATTACTACAGTAGAAACAAACATTAATGCAAGGGGCTTCGCCACAGCGAGGCAAGTTACGACCAGCACCATTGATACTGATTGGCTGGCGATTTATTGTACGTAATGGCGCCCCCGTCCTCCACACTCGGCGGCACGTCACTGCAGCCGATGGTGTAGGTAAATGAACGGACGAGGCGCTTGGTTCGGGCGTCCAAAGAGAGCGCAAATTCCTTCGGCTCAACTAAAATGCCCTTGATGTCGTCCTTGGACTTGTAAGGAGGGATCGTGCATGTCGACGGCTTCTTGAAGACTTTGGCATCTGGACAAGCGCCCCAAAAGTGCACAATTGTAATGTCATCCATGACCTCCATGCTCGAACTGATCAGATCATTCAAACTATCCCGCGGCTAAGACATCGCAATGGTGAGCTTGAAAGGGCGTGCGTTGACCTTGAGTGACCCAATTGCCACCTCGAGGCAACCACCGGGCGTTAACAGAGTCGACATTGTTGGGTTCCAAGAGGGCGGATGTCGTCAGGGCATCCCCACCGGTGCGACTGTATAATCAGACTGTAAAATACCGTTTTACAGTTCCTGTATTTTGATTTTTGTCAACCCCAGCGGTAAAACTGTAAAACATCCGAATAATGTTCTTATCCGGAAATGAACGCCTGGCGATGGCGTCGATGATGACATGGATCAAGCTTGGGAGATTCTTGGCTTTCATCAGTCTTCTGCGCGCCCTAAAGGCTCTACTGCCAACCGCCAGCCAAACCTACCACGAGATAGCGAGGCTGTGCATGCTCGGATTTACCTACTACTTAGGTCCCAATCCATAAGTTTCGCCGTCATTTTGGAATGGTCAGACCTATTTGAGCAAATCATGGACGGTGTGGTGATGCGTGATGAGTACTACCCTTGGACGCATCTTGAGAGATGTTGATCCATGACCGGACAAGCTGGCAGTCTTCGTCGGTCGTGAAGTTGGAGCCTTGGCTGATTTCATTTCTAAACCAACTGATTATTGACTCCACAACGCACATGATTGGACAAAATTATCCATTGATAGCATGTTATTGGCTAATTCGTCAAAACTGTATTTTACAGTCGCGACTGATTTGCCGTCTCGCGGTAAAATTTTACAGTTTCCTGTATTTTACAGTCGCCCGGTGGGGTTGTCAAAACTGTAAATAATCCGGATAGAACTGTATAATAGCGTTTACAGTCGCACCGGTGGGATGCTCTCATTTCTTTGCTTGGTCTCAAATTCCACACTGCGCATTACAATCAGATCATACTAGTACTCAGCCTACTTCGAAGCTCCCAGGATTATGTGAACTCTGCTTCGTGAACTGTTGACATCGTGTGAATCCAGTGTTCTAACAGTAATTGGTTGTTTTCGTTAAAGTGCAAGGTCCACCACGTGCGTTATCCGGATGAGTTAACGTAACTGCTGGCATGTGGCCGTCGCTCATCACCTATATTCCGTGGGACGCATGGAAGGTTGTGTTCGCCTTCCAAAATGGTATTCACGAGGTTATGCAACCCATCCAGCACTTGCGTATGCCAACTCTCATGGTACGAGGTGTGGTTGTACTAGACCTGCACCAGGTCATGGAAAGTGCTCATGCATCGTTGCTACCATGGCGCCAGCATTCCAGCACCAAGGAGGAGAATCCCGCCGATATTGGCTCCACGGATCACGTTCATAGCCAGTACCAATCGAAATGGTTGCGACTGCAACAATGTTTGCCGCATGTGTTTCGCGTTGCGCTCGTGGATGCCATCATCTTCGGTCCAGACGATGTGCTGCTCGTGCACCTACTACAGCAGCTGCACTCACTCAGCTTTGAGTACCCCACCTCCTTCCTGCAAGACACGATAGTATTGGCAGCTACCGTTGCAGCCAGCCTAGGCCACGTGGCTCTCTTGGGATGCCTTGTACCATCGCCACGTTTACCTACGAACGCTATCATGGACAATGCCGCTGCCCATGGCCACTTGCAGATCCTCCAGTTTCTCGACTCTACCTCACTCGTTTTCCCATGTTCCACCAACGCCATGGACTTGGGAGCTCGGAATGGACACTACGACGTCGTCCGGTGGCTTCACTTGCATCGACTGTCGACGGGGTGTACGGCTAATGCGATGGCGTGGGCAGCTTGGAAGGGCCACGACCGCATCGTGCGCTATTTGCACACCCATCAGCTGAGTAGCCGTCCCGAATTGGACGGTGGTCGCTCCATCGATTTAGCGGCGCAGGCCAATCGACTACCTATGGTGCAATGGCTCCACGGCCACGGCTACGACACCACTGTCGAGTCGTTGGAAGTGGCAGCTCGACGGGGATTTGTGGAGCTCCTGGCGTGGTTGGTGAAAACGTTTCCAGACAAATGCACCGTCAAAGTCATGTATCATGCCGCGTCCAGGCACGACGAGGGGATGGTGCACATGTTGCATGCAAACACAGACCCGACGTACACGACAGACGTTGTGAGGTGGGCGCGGCAGCGTGGACACCGTCTAGTAGCCGCATATGTTGAAAGCGTATTGCAACTTGGGAAGGTCGATCGTGGCCAAAGTGAAGATGTCGAGTCCATTTTGCAGGACTTTGACTCCATTTGAAGCAATCATCGTGGAGAACGTCCAGAACTCTGGCCCAATAGATGCTGCATTCCTGCCACAGTCGCGACGGATAAGCATTTTAACCCTGCAATGTCCCTTAGCATATGACGACACTATAGACACCGTCAACAATGGAGTGGTGGCAGCAGACTAAATATCGTCAAGGAAGTCCGCAGTTGATACTACAGTACCGAGTAAGTTACGGTAGTAAACGATATTCGTAGTCCTTCCATATCAGTAGGCGCCAGTTCATTGACCAAAATCCGTACCCAACGACCAAGTACTGTTGATGTGGCATACGAGCGATGCCCAATGGTGTACCGACACCCCGCGAATGCCTGCAGTCCCCGGGTTGGAAAAGATCTTTTTGGTGTCGATCACCACGCCTTGGTTGTTGGTCGCTGACTGATAGGCAGGAACCGTGCAGGGAGGGGCGGCCTCGCCAACGCTGTTGGGCTCGCGGTAGGCCCCCCAGACGTGCACGAGGTTCACGTGGTCCAGCAGCGCGCCAAAGTTGTCGATTGTGCTGGCGTTGAAGCCGTCCACGAACGTGGTGATGCTGACGGAAATGGATTTCGATCCAACAGCAAAGTTCCCAATAGCCACCTCCACGCAACCTCCAGAGCCAGCGTCGTGAACAGGGTCGAATTCCACGACGGGGTTTTGGTTGAGTTCATCATGGTTAGAATTGGATTATGTCATCGTCTCAATCGGGATTTGGAGGACGCAAAGTATAATGCGAGGTGGTCGCTGTCTTAGATATGTCCTGTGAAGGCGCTTCGTAGGATAGCAGTTCGTTTCAAGACAAAATGTAGCATGAGCAGGCAGGGCTTGCCTTGGATTGGTGGTTTCTATTTATAGCAAGCCTGCCACTTCCGCTTGCATCCTTTCGACAAATTCGACCATGTACTCGTGGCGCGCTTGGGCAATGCGCTGGCCCGTGGGAGTTTTCATCATGTCTTTCAATTTAAACAGTTTCTTCCGCACCAGTTCCAGTCAATCACTCTTGACATTGCAATACTAGTCGATAAGTTACTGTACCTCGTAAAAGTGGTTGAGCGTCGGACCGTGTTTGTTGGCCATGTACGCGGCCTTGTCCATAGCCATCAACGGCGGAACGGACGGCTCGTACAATACGCGCTTCTTGTGGCCTCCGTACGTGAGGCAGCGCGCAATGCCAATGGCTCCAATCGCGTCCTAATGCCCAGAATAGGTACATGACGATACAGCATAGCTTCACATGTTGTCGAGGACGTCGTACCAGTCGGTCAGCGTCTTGGACACACGCGAGCTCTGGAAACATGGAGATCTGGCAGGGTACCCACGGAATCATCGTCGACATTATATAGGTTCGATGTTGGACTACCTTTTTGGCGCCTAGTTCTTCTTTGAACCCAATGCCGTTGATGATTTTGAGCACAAACTCAATCTTGTCCACGTCGAGGGGCTACGGAGAAAAAACGTCAGTTCTACCAGAATACTAGTATAGGGTCGCCTGCCTACCTGGGTATGAAGGAACGCGCGAGCGCGGTCGGTCGAGTCCGAGCCCGTGTATTTCCAATCGTCGATGTCGTGAAGCAATGCCGCCAACACGACGCAGTCCATACGCTCCACATGCTCCTCCGTTGCAATACGCACGCTCAGGCGCCACACGCGTTCAATGTGATTCCAATCGTGGGACGCATCGTTCGATGCCAGCATGCCACGCACGTACTCGACAGTGTTCTGGATCACGATGTCGTCCGTCGTCATGACAGGGCCGAATTTGGCCGCCCAATCTCCACCATCGATGGCGCTGCTGGATGTCATGGCTACGAATGGTGGCAAGGGACTGTCGCCGTCGAACGAGTACCGCGAAAATGATGACGATCGCTTTTCGCGCGATTTTTCGGAATATGTCATCGAGTTTAGCAGGTCTTGAAAGTATTTTAACTGTAAATTGAATGCTATATTTAAAATAATACCCAACTGTTTTATGCATACAACTTACCTTGTTTTATGTCATGGCATGTATTTTAAATGCTATTTTAACATGCTTGAAAACAGATTTCGAATGGTATTTTGTTGTTTGAAAACAGGCACCCAGATTGCCTTTTGATTGGTCCAAACAGCGGCACTCGTGGAAAATGCAACTGGCACGGGATCGGACGCGGGACTTGGTGTCGCGCTGCTTCGTGGATGTGTTGGGCCACCGCGTGTCTGCCATTTACGCCCCCAATGTCGTCAACACGATGCGGGGAAAGTGGAAGGCGTCCAAGGAGTATACACCCATTGACACGGAGACGGCTCGGCTGTGGGGTGAGTACATGTCTGGAGCGTCGATGTTGAGCTCGTTCTTCAAGGGCGAGGAGCGCGTCGCGATGCGATTGCACACGAAGAAGCTCGATGGATACGTCGAGTCCATGAGTGTTGGTGAAGTCCGAGGGTACATGCATGAGATTGTCGACCCTGGCGCCACGGACGTGTTTGAAGTGAACAAAGTGCTGTACGGCGCCACCGCGCCTTACAAGACGGTGTTGGCAGCATCTGGGAACGCGACACAGGACTGGCAGACGTTCTACGATCTGTCGGAGCAAACGCCCACGCTCGTGAAGCTCGAGACAACCGCGACGAACGACGATGCCGTCGTGTGCTGTGGGGTGACCATCCAGGAAATGCCCAATGCCACCGTCCCGCTGCTGGACCGGCGTGACTTGTTCGATCAGTCCGTGATGATGGACGTGGTCCAAGCAGAGGGCATGCTAGCGTACTTGAGCTCACTCTTCCCCGAAGTGAACCTGACCAAGGAGCACGTGAAGCGCGTGCCCGTGGACTATTACTGCCGTTGCAACAAGGAAAAGTTTGTACAAAAGCTGTTTTCGGTGCCCCCAAGCGACTTGTCGTCGCTTGCAAACGAAGGCGGGGTGCTCTTGTCGTGTAGCTATTGCAACGCAGGGTACTTTGTCACAGCGCCAGAGCTCGAACAGGTCCTACTAGACAAGCACCAGCAACAGCCCTAAGCTCTAAAGTACTATTAGTAGTTCGCAGTTTCGTTGAAAACTATCGGCGCATACTAGTAGCAGTTAGTTAATCGCAGCATATTTGCCAACCTGAACAACTAACTATACCCACGCGCCACGAAATAATACTTCCTAGTAATACTAACGTAGACAATGTGCATTCGAGATGAAATGCTTCGAATCGACTCTCCATCGGTCACAGTACCATTCAATTCAAAAGTACTACTACGTACAGTAGTAGTATTACTAGTATGGCATACAGGTAACGACTCGCCCGTGCATCGTCACACTTGTTTCTGCGGCCATACTAGTAATACTAACGTTAAATTGCGTTCACGATTTCCTCGTCAAGTACTCTCGTTATGCCATTTTGCCCTCAAAACGTATTAGGATGCCACATACTTGAAAGTAGTAGTGTAGTCCGGGCAGTTTCAATATGAAACTGTCGTCGTTGCAACTGAGCTTGTAACTGCCATGAGATTTCGCTCAAGGGGTGCCAACCACCCTAGGTCGTCGCGTGGAGCAAGTTTAGTCATGAGTTCGTCCGCCAAAGTCAAGTCGTCGGGCGTCCGTCGGAGCTCTCGGCCGGACGCCGATCGGTCCGATGACCAGCGCAAGGAGAAGGACCCGCTGGCTTTGCGCCAGTTGTCGACGCCGGACGACTTGGACACGTACATGGAGAAGCTGTACGAGGAGGACATGGAGTCCAAACTCGACGGCATCACGCAGATCCTCAACCTGTCTGAATATGGCGCCAACATTGAAATGCTCGTGCAAAACGAGGCGTTGATGGTATACTATAAACTCCTTACTACACTACCTTGCAGTCCAAAGGTGGGGCAGCTGACACTGGCTGGTTGGCTGTTCGTAGTGCCTCCTTTCTAGGGTTCTCAACGACGAGTACAAGAAGAACTACGACTTTACGCTGCACATGATGCGGATCTTTTGGTGTTACTCGAACTTTCTCCAGCTGCATCCGATCCTAAGCAACTACCGCATTGGCGCGATCACATTGAAAATCGTCGATTTTGAAGTCAAGCGCCACCAGTTGCGCATCGAAGAAGAGAAATTGCTCCAGGAATCCCTCGTCAAGGCCAGTCACGAGCACCCGGATGTCCTCGCCAAGCTCAAATCCGAGGCCAAAAAGAACAAGAAGCGTTCGAAAAAGCAAGATCAGCTCCTGTACGTACTTACATATATATATGTAAATATTTATACACATTGTAGATTCGTGTGCCTGAGCGTGCTCTTCAACCTATCGGAAGACATTCACACCGAGCGCAAAATGGTTAAGAAGAAGATTGTGCACTTTTTAGCGAAAATGCTCGACCGCGTCACGCCCGACTTGGTGATTTTAACGCTCGGGTTTTTGAAAAAACTCAGGTAACGTTATGGCTAAAACCTTCCAAATATTTCACGAATATACGATACGGCACATTATTAACCCTGTCGTCCGTTCGTTCGTTCATCTTTGGTGGAGTAGCGTGTTTGAAGAAAACAAGGACACGATGATCGAGTTACAAGTGCCGGAAAAGGTCATTCGCTACGTGAAGTGCAACCACGACAAAACCGCTCAAGTATGTCCTGCACCTACTTCCACGACCTGCACCTACACCTAAGTCCATGCCTATAGATTGCACTGAAACTGCTGTTCAACCTGTCATGGGACGCGCGGGTGCGCGATGCGATGGTGAAAAACAGTTTAGTCCCCAAGCTGGTGGAGCTGCTCAAGAAGCCACCGTTTCGAGCGCTCACGCTGCGCATTCTGTACCACTTGAGCATGGACGACCGGTGCAAGTCGATGTTTACGTACACGGAGGCGATCCCGATTGTGATGCAACTGGTGATTAACTTTCCGCAAAATATGGTGGCCAAGGAACTCATGGCGTTGGGCGTCAACTTGAGCGTGAACGGGCGGAACGCGGAAATGATGGCGCAGAACAAGGGCTTGGACGCGTTGGTGCAGCGCGTGTTGCGGACTCGCGACGTACTGCTCATGAAGGTACGCCTGCAAATGTGTATTTCAACGTTATTTAACGTTGATTAACGTTGACAATCAAACATGTTCTAGTGCATTCGCAACATTTCGCACTGGTCGTTTAGTTTGCAAGAAGACTTGGCGTCTGAAAAAATGTACAAGCACAAGGGACTGTGGGCGGCGTACGTCGTGCCTCTGCTGGAGCTAGCGCAGAGCTCCGACAACCACGACCTGGTCGTGGAGATTCTCGGCACGCTGGGCAACCTCACGCCGCAGGACCTGCCCCCCAAGTCGTCGTGGGATAAAATCCTCGCGCAATACTACACAGTCATTCCGTTTCTCAACAAGTTGCTCGTGCCCGGCTTTTCCCAAGTACGTACAATTGTATATATATATATATATCCACACTGAGTTCGTCTCGTTGGCATGCGTGAGGGGCAATACCGAAAATGTAATTGATACTGTAGCGCTACTTTTTGTATTTGTTTTCATGTAAACTTCGTCGCATGCATAAGAGATTCCATGACAACGCCATGCTGTAATCTGATGCGGTGGAATACATGGGGCATGGGCCGAGGGTGTATGAGATTGTCATTAAGGCGTTTTATTGTCTACTATTAGTAATATTTTTTAGTTATTATTCTTTATTTCTTATTTGCATATTAATGTGGATGGATGAGTAGGACGACATGGTGCTACAAGTGATCATGTTTGTGAGTGCGTTGATGCTCGAGCCCAAATGCGCGCCGCTCATCACGTCGTCGCGTGTCGTGCGGAGCTTTCACACGATCTTCCAGGACAAGCAGAGCGACCACGAGATCACATTGCAACTGTTGTTTTGCTTCTACCGGATGCTGCGGCATCCAGAAACCCTCGACGAAGTGCTGTACGGCACCAACATGCTGCCGGACCTGCTGCTCGCGGCCGATTCGACCAACGTCGAGGTACGTCACTCTTCTTGTACATCGTCATCATCACGAAAGCCTCGTTACGATAATAATTTTACCGGACAGGTGCGACGCATGTGCGATTCGGTTTTGGACGTGATCTTAGACCACGACATCCATGAAGGCGAAGTGGGCGAGTTTGGCCGACAGATCCGCCGCCGTCGGTTTGAAATCCACAACGCAGAGTACTGGAACCTGATGCGTCATCGTGATGCCAGCCCCACCGCCTTTCATGACGACGATCCCGACGAGCGAGACCACGAATACAGCCACAGCAGAAAGTAAATGGCCTTGCAGTGGATTGGTTGCTCAGGCTGTTCATTGTACAAGGAGAGGAAATCATAAATATTAATGACATTTTCCGTGACATTTTGTAGCCAAGGTTGAGCTGACAGTTAGCGAGTACTACCTGTAGTATATAACGATGCATCCTATGACTCTAACTAGTGACGCGCATGAACGGATTCGTGAGATTCCCACTGTCCCTATCTACGTCATCTCCAACGGCTACCCCTTCGACTAAACTTCACACTTACCAATTGTCACTTCGTTCGAATTTTATCTAACACTGTAAATTTTGATAATTTCTATCCGGAAATTGCAATCGGGTCAAATTGTCATGGTCAGTGCTGGCGCGGTCGTGCGCGGGTTTGACGATGCGTCGGCGCACCAAGAGGCTGCAGACGCGTGCATGTTTCACTTTGAACGCAAGCACGTGTACTCTGTGAAGAACAACCCCATGTGTGGGATTAGCTTTGGGCAGTGGTGGCACCTTGTGCGCACACAGTGGCGCCACTTTGACTGGTGTTATGTCCCACGGGTGTTGTTCCTCACGGTTCTGTCGTTGTTCAACTCGCTTCTGGGCATCGTCGAGTCCATTCTGTACCCCGATGCCGTGATCCACCGCGTGGAGTTGCCGACGGACCCAGTGTTCATCATCGGCCACCCTCGCACCGGCACGACGCTTTTGCACAACCTGTTGGCGTCGGACGCGGCGAATTTCTACACGTGCACGACCTTTTGCACGGGGTTCCCATCGTGTTTCCTTTGGTTCGAAGCGTGGGGCAAGCGGCTCTTTGCCGGCACCATCGACCCCACTCGGCCCATGGATTCGATGCCTCTGCACTTTGACCTGCCGCAAGAAGACGAATGTGCGACGATATTGCTGTCCCGTGGCGCCAGCTACTACATGCCCATCTACTTGATGACTCGGGAGCCAGCCTTTCGGCGATTTCTCGACTTTAGTGCCGCGGATGGCGGCACGGCAGACGATGAAGCGCAGTGGACTTCTGCGTTTGTGTATCTGTTGAAGAAACTCACTTTTCGCCACCAAATCCAAGCGAAAGGCAGCTCATTACGACAACGACTGGTGCTCAAGTCGCCTATTCACGCGGCCAGGGTGCCGTTGCTACGCAAGTTGTTTCCAAACGCGCGGTTCATCTACATCCACCGCGATCCGTTTGAAACGATGGCGTCGGCGGCGCATTTGGCCAACACTGCGTTCTGGTTTATGTACTTGTCCACGCCCACCGACGACCAGGTCCGGGATATTCCTCAGCGTTCATTGGAACCTTCCGTAAGGAATTTGGATTAAGCGTGGTGTAGGTGAACGAATACCTGTTTTGGCAATTCGACCACATGTGGCGCAAGTACAACGAGGCGGCGGTGGACAAGTCAGTGCATGGAGGACGCGTGGTCCTGCCAGACATCCTCGAAGTGTCGTACGCAGAGCTCACAACGTGTCCGGAACGGACGCTACGAAGCATCTACGCCCATGCAAATATACAGTGGACAGACCAGTCGACTCGACACTTTGCCGCGGAAGTGGACGCACTTCAATCGTACCAGGTGAACCGACACCGCACGCCTGCCCACGCCACTCCGACGCCGCATTCAAGACATGGCCCAAGAGTACATGGATGCTCTCGGGTATACCACCGCGCAATCTCCCGGGGATTAGGCGGCTATGAGCTTAAAGGAACAAGGGGTCTCCACCAAGTAAATGCTGATACAGATTTGTGAAACTACTTCAAAATACATCTTGATTGTCTAACAGCGATGTTGCATATTGAACCTGTGTGGTGAGACAAGCAATGCATAATTCGCCATGTATTCACTTGAATTACGATGCAAACACCCCCCCCTGCGACTCCACACCAGTCGCCTTGCGCAAACCCCGACTCTTTGCATATTCCAAGCGTCGAAACATTTCACGAATCGACGGAGGGGATAAACAATCAACAGCAGCGACCATAACGTTACTAGAAGAGTGGAATTGGAACCTCATGAAATGAAGTAATTCACGAAGTAAGATGCTAATGTTACTGTATGATATCCTGGACGCATGCCGAGAACGCCTAAGTTCATGTCAGAAGAGTACGACAACCTGCAATTGCCCACAACCTGCAAACCCAAAGTATGGAGGCGATGCTTTAGAAGTCTATGGTGGAAACATACGCCAGCAAGCACAAGGCGTCGAGTGTGATATGAATCTTATAAACTCTTACAAAACGTGAATATGTACTGCGCACAAGTTGTAATTCGGTCGTGCTACAGTAAGGTCAGAGGTAACGTTATACGTATAAGCTTACTAGTAGTTGCTACACGTTTACAGTTAAGCAATAATGCAGTACAAAAAAACTCAAAAAGTGCGATACTTCTCGATTTATGCGTGTCATCCTTGCGCAGGGGCCATGCTAATCTTCTCTGTATCGTTCCAATTTTTACGGATGACCCCCGAAGGGGTTCCTGATGTTCTCCTAATGTTAGTCGTACCAGTCATGTCAATTGGTCCCGAGTTCGATCCCGGCAATTCTCAAAGTTTTGATCCCTACGCCGGTTGGAAATACATTATCCGGACGATTGTTGCCATGTTCAAACCCTCGTAGATTGGGATGTCATAGCATCACGTGAGCCTGACAGGATGTAATAACATGAAGGGGGGGGTGTGGTATACTTATTGCGTGAGCCAGAGCTTGACCAGTTCCTTGACAGGGGTGCGACACAGGGGGCACGTTCGACTGGTGCGTTGGATTTCTAGGGCGCACTGGAGGCACGCTGCGACGTGGCCGCACGGCACGCACACAGTTTGTTTAGATCGTGCCATACATACTGCACATTCCTCGTCGCTTGTCCGCCCCCGTCCATCTAGAAGCCTTCCATCGCCATGCTCATCACGGTCGAAGGTCGGCGCTCGTCCTCCATCTATGCTTGGCAATCGAGCGAAATCGTTGTCGTCCAAACCCTTGGCCGACGTGTAAGCAGTTGATGCTTGAGTCCGAGGCGAAGTAGAAGACGACCTGGCGAGCTCCATTTCCCGTGTTGGAAGCTCAATCCTGAGGATATCGTCCCACGCTGGGGCCGACGCTACTGTATGCCGAGGCGATGATGACGGCGAAGAAGAACGTGGTAGTGGGTGCAGTTGATCCAAGGGAACACTCAAGTCTTTGGTCGAAGGCGGTGGGGACCTTTGGTGAGCCGACGTTGTTGCTGCTACCGCCGAAGCTGGAGGTCTTGACCCTTCGAACACCGCAGCACTCTATCACGATATGCACCTGCGTCATACTATAACCTGCGATACAGACAGTGCTACTACACATATCTACATACCATATGGGAAGTGAAAAACGTCCCCCACGCTTCAAAGCCAGGTTCGTTGAACGCGGCGAGCACTTGGGATTCCAAGCCGATGGCCAGCGGTTTCCGGTTCAGGCCGTCGCCGTCGCGGTATAACGTCACAGGTTTGTCCACGTCAATGTCAAACACGAGGCTATGCAAACAAACATGGGCGGCCACGAACGTAAGCGAGGGGTACTTACGTGGGAATGGGCGTGCGCAGGCCGTTGTGGACGTGGAACAAGTGCATTTCCAAACACAATGTCGAGCCCGTTCGAAGCACGAGAGCGTACCGAGCTTCCCACGACTGCCACGCAAACATTGACTGCGACCGGTGGTAGATCCACCCTTCAAATACTTTGACGCGCTAGGATTATTGCAAAAGATATATATATATATGGCACTTGTCAGCATTGGTAGGGAATTCGAATTCGAAAGTAATTCACACGAGAAATGCCATCAACCATACACACAACTGAGGATGGAACATGCCAGCTGAACAGCGCGATTCCTCCAAACAAACAAATATGTCAACAGCAAATACAAGTAGTACATATATACCATACTATATATAGTATATACCTCTTCCAGCGCTGTAATGCACTGAACCACTTGGGGCCACCCGTCAGCCTTGGCTTGAACGATCATGCGGCTCAACCGCAGAGCGTTCTGCCCCTTTTTGTTCAGTATATATGGAGACATCACGTGGGAGGACGACATGAGCAGCATCGAGACAATCTCCACGCGACCATGCATGCACGCTACATGCAGCGCTGTGTTCCCGTCCAAGTCGATGGCAGCGGCGTTCGCTCCGCGCTCCAACAGTATCTGCGCGCAGGCGAGATGGCCATTGGCGCACGCAGCTAGCAACGGTGTGCGCTCCTGCGCGTCCAGAAACTCTAACGAGATGTCCGCTCCGTGAATGACGAGGTCGACCAGGGCGTGGGCATGGCCAGTTGAGGCGGTGCGATACACGTCTACCGCTTGGCCGGAGAGTGTCTGGGGTCGATTGTCCATGGCCTCGTCGATCGTTTCCCCCATGCTGTCCATCTTATCGCCGAACTTGTCCACTTGCGAAGCCATGTTGTGATGTCGAAGGTCGTTCACTTGTTGGACCGATTGGTGAAACTCAATGCTTATTGGATGATATATGAAATGTAATAGCCAATCCATTGAGCACCATAGAATGTATGCGATTTCATTGGCTTAATTGCAAAACATAATAGCCAATCAAATGTAGCGGCTCGACCTCTCCGCTACTAACTCGAACGTGTACTGTATAGTTCACAGTCAATATTTTATACTATATATTTTCGACTCTGTCACGTGAGAAACCACTTGACGACTTCGCGGACGTCTTGGCGGCATACTGGGCATTTGTGGGTCGTACGTTGAAGCGCGTCGGCGCAGGGCACACAGACTGCCACGTGTCCACAGGGAACACACACGGTTTGCTTGGGACGGTCCAGGCACACCACGCACTCCTCTCCTTCTGCCACGTCAGAGGTCGAGTGGGGAAGGAGCGGCGTTGATGCTGCTGCTATTGGAGACAAACGCGGCACTTCCTGCCCGTCTGGCGCAGAGGCTGGGGTCACATTTGCGGAGTCGCCCATCTCTAGCTCGTACAACTCCATGGACTTGGTTGCAGGGGTAGTTGTACGAAGGGACACGGAATCCAGCGCTGCGTCCACCTGCAAATGTACACGGTTGATAGTAAGCAAGTGTGTTTCACCTCGGTTTACGAACAGGGGCGTACCGCTTCAACACAGAGGAAATGCGTCCACGCGACGAACCCAGCTTGGTTGAACGCCGCCAAACGAACATTCCCTGCCGAAAAGGACCACGCTGGCAAGTCCACGCTAGCGTCCATCGGTAGGATTGGCATCGGGTTGTGCACGTCCACCATCACCGCCAAGCTAAACCAGTCGTCAGTGAGGATGCAGCATATATATACTAGTATTTATTGGTGTACCGAGGTAAGGCCAATCGAAGGCCATGCTGCACTTGGTGAATATTCAAAAGTAACATTTGATCGGTTCCAGTTCGAAGGACAACAGCATAACGCGGTTGCCAGTCGACCGTCGGCTGGTCATCACATCCGAGCACCCAGCCTTCAAATACTTTTAATCTCTACAAACAAATACTTTACTTAGTACAGTACACGTGGTGGATAATATTAATATAATTGAATATATATATATATACACCGTTGATCATGTTATTGCAATGGAGGAATAACATTGTACGACAATGCACACTCACTTGACATGCACTTTGCACATTTGCAGTCTGTGCAATGCACATTGACCATTGCAATACAATGGACCACACTTGTACCCATATGCATTCCCTCCACCAATAGACACGACTTGTACCTCTTCGAGCACCTCTAAACACGTGGCGATATTCACCCACGAGGGGGTTTCTGCTTCGTTCATTAGTACTTCGTCGCTGTTAATCGCTTGCATTTTCGAGATAATTTCCAGTGCTGCCACGTCATAGGCTGATTGCCCAGCGTGGTTGACAAGGTAGGGATTGGCCGGTCGCACGGGGTGCCGCAGTAGCAGGGCCACCACTTGAACATGACCAGAGATGCATGCTAAATGCAGAGCCGAATGCCCGTCGGCATCTGTGGCCAAAACATCTGCACCGCAATCCAGCAGCAAGAGGACGCAGTTGGCATGCCCGTTGCACGCTGCTGCCAGCAGCGCCGTCCGTCGACGGTCGTCGCTGTATTCCATCGCATCGTGGACGTGCACGCTAGAGGCCGAGAGCAGCACCTGGCGCAATGTCCCCACATCGCCGTGCTTTGCTGCGTGGTACATGGTGCTCAACGACGATGGTTGCGAAGATGGTGGTTCTAGGCGCGGACTCGATGGGGGTTTGGGGGGACGGACGTGGTCGTGGAACGACTGAAGATGGGTGGCCATCGCCGCTGCATGTTGCTTTTTGGCCTCCGCCAACTTCAACGAGTCCATGTGCTTGGTCTTGGCCACGGCCTTTTTGTCGAACTTGTACACGACCTTGGTCAGTTTCTTCTCCAGTTTCGTAGACAAGGCATCCAGGACTTGGTCATCCCGAGATGTGTCGTCGTCGTCGTTGATAATGTCGCGGCGATGGGGGTGGCGGTGAAGGCGGTGGCGTCGCGATGTCTTTGCCTCGTCCCGCGCTTGGTATCGCACAACATTGGCATCGTCTCGCTCTTGATGTCGCCTAGCTCGAGCGTCATGTTCAGCTGCCAAGGTCACGTTGTTGTTTCCGTATGCGAACGTTGGCAGGCCGTTTTCATTGATGGCATGCCGCGGTTTCTCACGATCGGCATGGAAATGCCTTGGGACGGTGCTCGTCGCGGCTGTGGTGCTATTGTTCTGCGTTGTTCTCGTGGCGGACTTTGCTCGAGACGCGGACTTTGCTCGAGACGCGGAGGTTGTACTGAAGTTGACAGCGCTGGCGATTCGTTGGCCGAGTCCTTCGAATTCAGTGCCTAATCGCAGACCCAAGTCGCTCATAGACGCACCAAACCGACCCATCACCGCGCCATAGTCATCGCCCAGCCGTGCCATACTCTGTACTTGATGGAGTTTGCAATTGCACGATTGGGAGAATCCTCGATTGGGATTGGTAGAAAATCAACTGCGTCCTGAATATCTCGTCCAATGAATTGGTTGCGTGTCCAACATGTGGCCAAAGCATTCTCGTGTACAATCCCCTGTGGCACATGGCATTCACGAACGAATCGTGAACGTTAACTCCGCTAGGACCAAAATCATTATCAATCTCGTTCACAGTGTAAGTACTGTACATGTACTGAAACAACTCAATGATCCATGTACTGTAGCGTTACACTGTATTGTGAGCTTAGCCCTGATTCGGAGCATTATTGTTCCAATCAGATCACATTAGTTTCCAGAATGTTGGTAAAATCGTCAAAATAACACACATTCTGGCCATTTTTACCAGCATTGTATGGCCGAGTCTTGTATTCAGCGATGCGCCATTCTGGCATTTCCCTCGTACCACAGAAAACCACATGGATCAATTTGTCAAGACCGTGGAAGCGTCGACCAAGACAATTGAGCAGCACGCCAACCGACTTGGCCAGCATGCCGAGCGCTTTGGACAGCGCATGCAGCAGCGCGCGGCCGAGATGGAAGCTTCGTTGCGCCATCCAGCCCCAACACCGGCGCCTGCGCCGTCTGCGTTCAAACTCGGAGACATTGTGCAGTGGGTCAAGGACACGTTCGGCGTCAACACGGACATGGTGTACGAGTGCGCCAAGAAGAACGACGTTCAAACGCTTCTCCAGATCCTGGACGGGTCGACGCCGGAGATGCGTCCAAAGCTGCTCGAGTACAAGGACTCCCGCGGTCGGACTCCGCTCATCATGGCCAGTTCCCAAGGCCATGTGCTGTGTGTACAAGTGCTGCTTCAACATGGCGCGTTCATCGACGCCGTCGACTCGAAAGGCAACACACCGCTGCACTACGCGTGCCAAGAAGGCGCGATCGGCGTCATCGAATTCCTCATGTCGCTTCCCGGCGTGAGTCCGTACATCCAAAACTCTCGCGGGCTGTCACCGCTAGAAGTGGCGCGGCGGAGTGTCGAGAACAAGGTGCCCAATGCGTCTGGCTGTGTGCACCTGTTGGAGACCCGCATCCAGGTGTTCCAAGGCTGGGTGTACGAGAGCGTAGACAACATCGGGTCATCGATCCTCGGTCTGTCGTCGCTGCAGTCGTGGGCCAACCGCTACGTCATCATCCTGCGCGTGGGTTCGCCGCAGTTTCTGGAGATGGCGTTCTTCGACGTCGTCCAAGGCCAGCGCTCGCCGCTCCCTACGTCCACCTTCATGCTGCACGTGCCGTCCCCAGTGACGTTGCACACAAAAGCCAAATTGTTCGACTCGAAGCCGTGGGCATTCAAAGTGCACGGCGCGCGCAAGAAGGGCGCGGGTATTGTGGGTGCACTCCACGCTCGCGAACTTGCGGCCCCGGACCAAGCCAGCTTCCACGCGTGGGCGGCGTTTTTGACCGGAGGCGGCGCAGCCAACTCGCTTGTGGACTCGCAACTGCTGACCAATTCGTCCGTCGAGTTTACGGTGGCACCCCAAGTTCACGGTCCGAGTCCCCCCGTGGCCCAGACCACTCCCTTGTTTCCCCAGCCCAAACCCCTCGACGACAGCTTTGTCTACGCTCCGCCTGCGTCGGCACCTCCTTTGGACGACCATGACGTGGCTGCTCCCCTAGAGACTTCCGTGCCTGGAGAATGCGTCGTCTGCTTTGACGGCCCCCAAAATGCCGTCTGCGTACCGTGCGGCCACGCGGCCGTGTGCATGCGATGCGCTGACCACATGAAGCAGTCGTCCCTGCAATGTCCCGTCTGTCGCGCCGACGTTCGCGAAGTGATTCAGCTTTTTCACGTCTAAAGGCAGCTATTTGATGCATGGACATTAGCAGTCCAGGTAGTCGTTAGAGTTGTACCAATAGGAGGTGCAAAGGCGACTCTATATTTATCGCATTTATAAGAGGCAATGTGAAACATTACGGTATCAAAAGGGCAAAGCTCGATCGCTTTGAGGGGGATGAATAGACCTGAGCAGGACACACTGACTTATCGAAATACAACGGCTTGGAATGCCGGAACACCATCTCGGTGAAACTTATTGGACGTGAGCAATGGACATTCCAACGTGACTCCGGTCGATTGAAGCGCGTACGACCCTGTCACGTTAAGTCGTATCAGTTGCGGACAATCCAGGTACAGAGTTTGGAGGGCTGGCAAGAGCGAAAAGTCGGCAGACCGAAGTTTGTCTGAGCATAGGATGGCTTGATGGAGCCGCGCGCAGTGGTGGACGCGGATGGAGGTCAGCGCTGGGGCTTGAACCTACCGAGAGTGCTAGTTACGACCAAGTGGGTGGGGTTGATTCGGTACTTAGGTACTACCTCCAAGTACGCCAACTGGGCACACCGATCTAGAACCAACGTTCGCAGGTGCTGCCACGTGAGCTGGCAGTGAAACCGGACAAGGCCATTGGACTGCGTAAAGTCGGCAGTGTGGACGTTTGGAGCCGCCGCCATGAGGGTATTGAAGGCGACAAACGAAGGACAGGACGTGATGTGCACCTTGGATAACGACGTACAAGGCGACTCGATCGCCAGACTTTGGAGCTTGAGGTTGTTGGAGAACTTGAGTTGCGTTGCTGCGGGTAGAGAAAGCGGCGGACACACCAACTCGTGGCAGCCATCAACATGCAACCGTTTCAACTTTTCTGCGTGGGTGGTCAACGATGCCAGGTGACGGTCGCCCAGTGAGGCCACGTCCACCAACGACACGTCCTCGAGTTGGCGGAATCTCGTGAGATGAAGCAGCTCATTCGGCAGCGCGAACGATAGACTGACGCGGAGCGTGCGTGAGTGGTGAAAGTATGGGACCAATTGGCCATAGCCACACCGCGCCAGTCGAGCATCGTCGTCGCCAGTGAGGATTAGACTCTGCGAGTGCATGGTAGAGCGATGGAAGGATTTGTTTAAGGATGACATGCGAACAAGGTCAATTGGACTGAGGAAGCTTAGTACCAGGCGCTGCACCGCTTCCACGTCGTGCCATTGCGAGTTAATCACGCCGACTGGAGCCATCATTGTGCGTGCGGCCTTTTCGTTTGTCAGATTAACGAACGTTATCCGGAAGTGAAATGTCATTATATAGTTAGTGTGTGTAAGGGTGTCTGGATCAGACCCCAATCTTTGACCAAATAATATTTCGAAAATTTGGTTCACAGTCAAGTAACGTTAAGTGTAGTTATCGAAGGGCCACTCTGGCTGCCACAAAAAATGTTACCGGTATCTAAGGGCCACTCTGGCTGCCACAAAAATCTCAGAAAACATCTTTTTGCAACTTTTTCAGAAATATTACGACAATTTTTTAAACGTCAGCTTTTTTGTGTGTTTGGCTACCAAATCTGACATATATACTAGTAAAGAATGTTATTCTATCTATAGTTCTCCTTCCATTATGGCATCCAGAGGTCCCATCAAAATATTTTGAAAATATCTTCTCACCTCCCACTTGAAATGGGAATTCTCTGTCAGAATTTAATTTGACATAAAAGGTTCTGTAGCATCCAGACTCGGCCTAAGCTTACTGTTGACTGTCTCGATCAAACAGATTTCGGAAGAACGTCAACGATTCTGAGTTCTTGCCAACTTTCACAAAAATGTCCCTTGAACCCCATTTAACTGTTTTGGCGAAAAACGCGAAATTTGGCGAAATATTGAATTCTCCAAGACTTTTGACTGTTGCAGTTCAAACACTTTCCTGTCAGCAAAGAGTAAAAATTCGATATATTACAGTGCTGGTCAGCAGGATCCAGCCACCCCGTTTATCTGGGTTTAATTTTGTCCAATAACACGTAGAGACTTGCGGAATATACCATTCTCTTCGTTTTATTTGGCTGTTGAACGTCCCTTTATATATATGCCAGATTTGGTAGCCAAAACACACAAAACATCTCGTTTGAAAAATTGTCATAATATTTCTGAAAAGTTGCAAAAAGTATTGCTTTCTGACATTTTTTGTGACTATTATCCGGTTTTTCGATTTTCGAGTGCTTATTTCAGTGGGCGGCTGTGGAGGACCACCAAACAGGATGGGAGAACGCGGGCTTGGAATCAAGACGGACACGTTCAAGCATGCTTGGGAAGGTGCGGACAAGGAGTCGTTTCCTCAGCTGTGTGAGTCCTGTCTGGGGGAAGACCCGTACGTGCGCATGATGAAGGAGGTGCATGCGAAGGTGTGCAAGACGTGCGATCGTCCGTTTACGGTGTTCCGATGGAAGCCGGGCAAGAAGGCCCGATACAAGAAGACAGAAATCTGCCAGACCTGTGCCAAGCTCAAGAACGTGTGCCAGACCTGCGTGTTGGACTTGCAGTACCATCTGCCCGTGCAGGTGCGGGACGCGTTTTTGGCCGAGTCCGAGCGCCAAATCGTTCCCGAAAGCGAGGCCAATCGTGAATGGTTTGCCCAACAACACAACGCGATGCTGGAAGAGCAAGGCATTGTGTCTGCATATGGAAAAGCATCGGCGCCCAGTCAAGCGCTGCTTCGCATGGCGCGCGTGGATCCGTGCTACAAACGCAACCGGCCGCATCTGTGCTCGTTCTTTGCTCGCGGCGAATGCAAGCGCGGCGAGACCTGCCCATATCTCCATGAGATGCCCACCGCCAAGAGCAATCCGTTGGCGAAACAGAACATTCAAGACCGATTCCATGGCCGCAATGACCCTGTGGCCGAGAAAATCATGACCCAACATGGTCACGCGGACAAACTGAACATCAACAGACGACGACGCGGCATTCCACCGCCGCCCCCGCCGCCGCCGCAACAGTCTGCGGTGCCATCGCATGTGCCACCGCCTCCACCCGGTCCACCGCCGTCGTCGGCGTCGACTTAGCATGGGCAGGGAAAATTGATCACTAATGCAAATGATTGAATCAAACGCTGGTTTGGGTGTTGGACAGTAGAGTTATGCCATAGTTTTATATGGCACATTCCTCGTGACAAGTCAGCGGAAACCCCACTTGCTTACAAATAGACTTCTTTCGACACTGTGGATGGACAACACGATCGAATCCACTTCGCTTTGCCATTCCTTCAATGACACCTGAACGGGTATGATGCATGGAAATATCACTCCCGACCCCCCGCCCCCTTCCCTCTCTCTTGGCCGCAAGGATATCTGTCCACTTGTTGAATGGCCTGAAGGAGAGGCTGTGCTATATGCCCTTTGTACAAAGCACATTGCTAGAACCATGGAGTCGTAAAGGTTCTTATGCATGTTAAAGAGGACTTGATGGGGTTGAACATATCGGTCGCCTGATGCGGTTGCAGGAAAGGTGCAATTTTGCACTACTGCAATGTCAGATACTAGTACAATTAATGCCACACATTTCAAAAACTATTTCGTTCGAGGTTTCCAGAAAAATATATATTGTTTCCTTTGATACAAGTGAATTATCTGTTTTTCTCATTCCAGACTATGGAATTTCTATTAATAGTCCTGTAATACGTATTATAGTAGTACCTGCTATTAATATTACTAGTAATAGTATACTATTAATAGTATACTTTTTCATGCAAAGTTATATATTCTGGAGAAATATTTTAAGATCACCACTGGTCGGCGTTTCTATTACCGAACTACATACTATTGATAGTTACACAACCAATTGCTAAGGTCGCTCGCCATAGCCCTTCACATTTCTACGTAAGAATCGAAAAAACCAAGTCCAATGCAGTCGGCTCGCAGGAACCCAGCAGGACATTGGAGCGACATGTACGATTGATTTCCCCCACAGGGGGCGACGTACTGTACACGTGAAGTCGAATCGAAGGTACTACTACATATGTATTAATCGTACTGTTACTACTAGAATGTAACGTTGCTACTAGAACGTGAATTGATTTTCAGCAATGTTATAACTCTTGAACACCCCACCCCATCGACACGAGTCGAACTGGTTCAAACATGGTGCTGAGAATGTCCTTAGATGTCAGCGCATCATGGCCCGCAGCTCCAGCGATCACATGCAGCGGAATCAAATGTTCTTCCCGCGGATGGCACTCGCGCGCGCCTGGCATGGCCTCCCACGCCCTGAGCGCTTCTCCTCGGGCTTGGACATCCACATGAGCGCACGCTTTCACCAACGCATCATTGAATGCTTTGGATTGTGCGACGAGGTTGCCGCGACCGTGGAATGAATGGTACGACATGCCGCTGCCGAGGATGGCAATGTTTTCATCTCGCAACGGCGCCAGAGCCTCGCCAATGCGGAAGTGGAGATCGGGGTCTGACCCGCGCACGACGCTCAATTGGACAATCGGAATGTCCTCGGCAGGGTTGATCAGTTTCATAGGCACAAACAGACCGTGGTCCCATCCTCTTGTGGGGTCGAGCTTGGACGGAATGTTCTGGGCGGTCAAGAGGGCGTGGATCTTGTGCGCAATGGCTGGCGATCCCTTGGCGTTGTACGTGAGCGCGTACGCTTCCTTGGGGAATCCGCCATAATCGTACAAGAGCGGATGCGACGCGCCCGACGAAATGGCCACGGTCGACTCTTCCCAGTGAGCCGTCACGAGGACGATCGCGCTCGGTCTCGTGTCGACGTCATTCAGGCCGAGCCAAGCGGGGGCCACTTGTTCCAAAAAGGCACGGGCAGTGCCGTGGTCAGGGTCCGTCACAGGCATGAGGACGGGAAGGGGGCCAGCGCCGTGGTTCACAAAGATCGCTGGCGCTCGGCGGCATACAGAAGTGGTCATGACGAGTGGAATGCAAATGAGCAAGTGAATGGCGAGTCGAAGTGGTCGAGCCATGGAGTTCTCGCGTACTTGTATGGAACTTCCGGTGGGAGCGCCATGTTGGGTGAAACTCCGGAATTTACTTCCGAGTTGATCCTGTTGCAATAATCAATCGGACTTAAAAGAGATTCAGTGCATTTCTACACCTTTTCCATCCGACAGTTTCAAAAAATACAGTACGTGTAACCGATCCAAGACTGGAGCTACAGTATTGATTTGTAGGTACAGTAAGTAGTACTTGAGTAATAAGTTTATTAACGTTAACAGTAAATGAGTTTTCAAGCACTGTATATGCTAATATACTACTAGTAACAACTTACAGTCAGCAGTCGCAAAGCGCTTGCCTTTGGGGCTTACGGCAAATGTTGTGTGTCAACCTTCGAACGATTGAGTGCAGCTTGGGGTAGTACAGATCTACATATGTAGGCCGTGCTGGTGCAATAAGCTTTGTAAATCCATTCCCGAGATGAGATCTTCCAAGCAACGTTATCTCGAAACGCGCAATAGTGTCGTGCAAGAATATATAAATTGTTTTAATAATCGAAACCTCAGAAAATATACGTATAAATGCCATCCATTGCAATATTTATCGGTAGAAAATCTTCGCTCTATTCATGGACAACACCCCAGCCCACCGAGCGGAACACGCCATTGCCCTTGATGTCGTAGGACGTGGCTGGTCCGTCGCCGCCGGCACCAGCAATCACATGCAGCGGAATCAAATGCTCTTCGCGCTGATGGCAGTCTCGCGCATGCGGCAGCGCCGCCCACGCCTTTAACGCCTCGTGTCGGTCCACAGCGGTCGGTTTGGAGCTGGCCTCCACGAGTGCATCGTTGAAGAGCTTGGCTTTGGTCTCACTGTCGTCCGTGCGATGGCTTGGGTGGAACGTCGCGCCACTGCCCACAATCGCGATGTTCTCGTCCCGAAGTGATGCCAACGCTTGACCGATGCGCAAATGGAGATCCGGGTCCAGCCCCGCGACCACGCTCACTTGGACGATAGGAATGTCCTCAGCCGGATGAATCAACTTCATCGGCACAAACACTCCGTGGTCCCACCCGCGGGAAGGGTCCAGCTTTGACGGGATGTTGGTGGCGGCCAACAACGCTTGGATCTGGTGGGCGATGGCGGGCGACCCCTTGGCCTTGTACGTGAGCGAGTAAGCCTCATCGGGGAACCCGTAGTAGTCGTAGTACAGCTCGTGCGACTCGCCAGACGAAATGCTGACGACAGATGCCTCCCAGTGGGCTGTCACGAGCACAATCGCAGCGGGCTTCGTGGCCGGGTCGTCGAGACCAAGCCACTTGGGGGCGACGCGCTCGAGGAAGGCGCGGGTGGAGCCGTGACGAGGATCGTCGATGGGTTTGAGGATGGGAAAGGGACCGGCGCCGTGGTTCACGAAGACGGCAGGGGCCTTGCGCAGGGCGGGGTTGACCATGTCAGTTGTTTGGGAGGTGGTAAATTGAATTGTGCGAAAAAGTGGCCAAGCGATGTCATGTATTTGAAGGGGAACTGCTTCTCCCAGGTAACTGTTGGCCACTTACGACCAATCCAATCACCGACGTGGTAATTATTTCGTTCGTCTTATTTGTGGCACCGAGCACAAGAGTTAAGTCCATCCTACAGCGGGTTAACTTCGTTCGTGTTGTTATATATTGTGCTTCAGTACTTGATTGGCAATGTCTTTGATAGACGTTTATTGTATTTTCTGCGTGAGGGCTCGATTCACGATGCCTTGGATAACTTGGTTTTTGACATCCCAATTCAAAGCTGTGTCGATATTTTGACCAAATTTATCATCCATGCGTCCCCTCAGGTTGTAGTCAACTTGTCAGCATTCGTATTCATTCAAGTTGGAAAAATGGATAACGTTAATATTTTAATAGTAACGTTACATAGGAGTATACTATTAAAATAGTATACTCCTATGTACAGTAGTACTAGTAATGTACTACTATTAATAGTATACTCCTATGTACAGTAATACTAGTAATGTACTACTACGTAGTACTATTAATACAGTATTCGATGTTGATATTGATATTACGCTGTAAAGTTATGATCACTCAGCGGGCACTTAATGGCCTCGGCCGCGTACTAGCTGCGTGTACTATGTAGTATTCGAGTTGATTACTACTCATACCACACTCTGAAGTCAAGCCTAAGTTACAACGCATTTGGTTTCATGACCTGTAAGCTTCAAAGGATCCTACGATCGTTCTTTAAGTTTGTTGGCTTAGTTATGCGAGCGAGGGGGAATGACTTGTTGATGCTGCGCCACTCGAAGTTGGTCAATGGACTGTTGAATCAGCGTCAATCGATTCTTCAGCTCCCAGGATTCGTCTTGCAGATCCCGCGCGACGTTTCGGAGGCGTCGGAACTCGTCCGCGTCGTGTTTTGACTCCTTCCCTGGGCGGGCAAGGCAACCAACAAATACCCCTCCCAGAAACCCCCAAAACGGACCCTTGTACCCCCAATGGCGTTCGGCATGCTCTCCCGTCGAAAAGCCCTTGAACTTCTTTTCCAGCTCGTTCAGTCGACGAGCCCATTTGAGCTCGCCCTGTGATGGCGGCGTCGGGCTGTGACGACCAGCAGCAGTCGCCCCCTCGGCCGCTTCTTGGGGATTGCCCGTGTTCAATCGTCTCGAGGTTGCCGTATTGCGCCGCATGTGGACAGCGCATCGACGAAAGGCATGGAACATGGTAGTGTTTGATGGGGGGAGAATTGCAAAGTGAGCAGGGTTCGAGCGTATAAGACAACCATTCCGTTGTTTAGAATGCGTGTCACATCAAACTCGCACCTGGAACAAGCCCTTCATTCTTCTTAAGGAGTGATTGAGAAAGACCATCATTCCACAATGAGAACGGGACATGTACGCCAGCAGATCACAGCCGTCGATTGCAATGCATGCGTGTCCATACCGTTTTCGCCAAATGTCATTGTTCTCTTGCATCCCTAATCGTTAAGTTGCAACTTTCAGACAAGGCGTCAACCGGTAAAGTCGACTCGTTACGTTACGCGGACAATGGACGCTCCAATGCCATCGGGGGGAAACCACCACCATTATCACTACTCTAAGCATCCAAGCAGCCGAGCCGTGTGGATGCTCGTGGTGGCATCAGGATGCGTTGGGTATTTTTACGGAACAAAGTCGATTGCATCTACAAAGCCACGGGGCATGGACCGAGCTCGGCATGAAGCGAATGAAGTCAAGGAGAAGTTCAAAAGTCGGATCAATGACCTGACTGATGCCCTTGGCAAGCCGCGGCGATTTCCAGTAACAAAACAAGAGGACAAGCATAATTCTCCATAGTGTGTTGGTGTTTTTTGTAGTTACGAGTACTGGTATTAAATTGTTGCGTACTCGGAGTTGTAGTTTTCTCGTGACTTAACTCTCTGGTAGATAATTACCCTGGAGTACAGTAGGTGGCTGTGCTCAGCATTAGTGCACAAGTGTTCATCAATCCATTGTGGTCACACATCCCGGACAAATTGCAATCGTAGTCGTACATGACCCTCAAGGTCCACATTACTCAATTTACCAAGCACTGCTACACTTGTAGATGTCAATGGACAATGCAAATGTCGTATTCAAACCTCCACTATGAATCAACTTTCCATGCCTTCAAATTGGCCGAAAGTCCCCTGATAAACACTAAAATCTCATCCATATCGTCCACTTCGTCGATGGTCATCGTGGATCGCAGCGTGCCTTCGTCCACCTCCTCGACCACAAAGTCACAAAACACCCCCAAGAACCCCATACAACACTGCAATTTGTCACCCAGTGAGTTTGCATCGTCCAAATCTCCTTTGAACTTCCCCACTTCCTACTCGGTACGCATCACGTTAGCATTGCAATCCACCGATATTGTGTTCGTACCTGTTGAAACTTTGAGGCTCGTTGTTTTGATCGCTCCTCCTTGTTGAAGGTCCTTACTTCCGTCCTAGAATCCCCCCACACGACAAATCTTCAATCCAAAGCATTCATTTCATTATCTTGCTTACACGTGGGGACGAGATGGGTAGGGGGCATAAGCGGGCGTGGCCACTTTAAGCTGGTCGATCGACTGTTGAATCGACACCAGTTGTTGTTTTAGCTTTCGTGACTCGTCTTGCAAATCACTTGCCAGCGATTTGATGCGGCGCTCGGTACGTTCGTCGCCATGATCGCGTTTCGAGAACAATGAGCTTCCGACAAGGACGCCTCCGACAAACCCAATGATTGGGCCCTTTCCAATCCATTTGCGATCGCCTGTACCGTTGACACGAGCGGCAAAGTGCTTGTAGCGGTGCTCGTATTCATTGAGTCGGCGCGCCCAATCCCCATGCGGAGGGGGAGGAGGAGGGGGCATAGCTCCTTGAGCGGACCCTTCGGCTGCTGGACCGGACGTGTTGAACCGGCGAGTCGCTGGATGGTTGGGGCGTCGGGTGAGAATTACCGATCGGTGGACGATGCGAAACATGTTAAGAAGTGTTGCTTTGGGTGGAAACTGGTAAATGCGACTTGAACATAGGTGGTGCGGAGAATCAGAGACCTTCATGGTACCATGGGAGTGCATGTGGCCACAAGGATGCGCTCCACGTGACCTTCACTCCACTTTGGAGCGATGGTCCCTTTGTTCCTCGCACTTCGTAAATCGTGAACGACCTTCATTGTCAAACTGAATGTGTGTTGCCTTCCAGTCGACAGTGAATATTGATTCACATTTCACTTTGCCCCTTGACACAGACTTCGTCGAAAATGCAACGAGTGTTTCGCCCCATCTCGAGGGCCGTTGAGGCCATCCGTTGCAAGCAGCCCCGGCTCCCCCAGCACCGAAGCCCACTTTCGACCACAGCTGGGCCCACGACTGCAGGCGGCCAATCCCATCATCACCATTACTATTCAAAACACAATACCCCTCGCCGCTTCTGGTTTTGGACTCTGGTGGGGGGTGGTTTGGGGTACTCGGTCATGGCTGGAGGCGACTCAAGATGCAAGACTAAACGCCGAACGGATCGAGCGTTTCGTGACGTGGAAGTCAAACATCGTGAGCTCAAGGACGACTTGAATCGGCTGCAATTGTCTCTGGATCAAGTGCGCGGACAAGCGATGGTGCACCGTCCGTCGTTGCAAGATATCTACTTGCGTCAACACATTGAAGCGGTCAACCAATGAGGATAATTAGCGTTTTCGGTGCGACATCATTTTTGTATTCAAAAATTTCTACGACTCTCCGTCTTACCGGTATCGTCAGCCCCAATCCTGGCACCTCTTGCCTCGCGTATAAGGGGCAATTACATGACTACGCCTAGTTGACAGGGATACCGTGGCACAGAGGTAGTGCGATCGATGCAAAGGCAAGTCGAATCCATTGTGTGTGCCATTACTACAGTACCACTGATAATTCTTTGTGTGCTTCTCCAACGTTACTGTATGTCCTTTGGTGCCGTGGATATGAATGGCACACACATTCAGTTTCGAATGCAGGACCATGAAAGTCTATCTTTTGGTACCAAGCGTCATTTTATACACGGAACGTAGGGATGTCGAGCATTAGTCCCCCCGCTCGGTGGTTCTCTTGAGAAGTAGATTTAGCTATTTTTAGTTTACATTTAGCAGGTATTTCATCATTATTAGGTGCTATAAATTTCATAACAACTATATATAATATGTATGAGATCTCCTGGTTTATCTTTTCATAAATTACCTTTATTTTATATAATTCATTTTATAAAATGTTAGAAGATAATGATAATATTTTAAATTGTTTTTTTTCTAAATTCAGAAGTTATAGTTCTAAGCAAGGGACTCGACGGTTCAACAAACGGCTGGCTTGGGAGATGTGACCCCTCCGCTTCTTCCCCAGCTCGGGGGCATGGAGCCTCACCGACTTCATTGCAAGCAGTTTGACTCCGGTGCACAAGGTGCGAGCACCCGCAAATTACTTCGCCTGATTGGATTTTTTACTGTAGTTGGTAGCGCGCTATTCACAACGCGCGTTCGTTGTGGCGACACTTCTGAAAACTTCGCGAGCAAAGAGGCATGATCACAGCAACGCATGTCAAAGATGGAAGCGGTACGATAGAAATTATGCGATCGAATTGCTCATTCGATGTACTAGTACTGTACTGTACAAACACACATCGCGTTCAAATCGCTTTGGATTTTGCACACTTGTTTGGGCGACAAATGATATGCCTATTACCTTCGGGGGACACGATGACCACCGACGAGATCGATGTCGTGGATGATTTTACGGCATGCATCCAAGCGATTTCGACAATGCTGACATCATAAACCAACCCACTTTGACCTAACCCTACATTTCGTCAACTTGGAAAACTACAGTAGACTTGGTCAATTCCTACATGGAGGGAGACCTGCAGGATGTCGCATTGCCACCATAGACTACTGTAAACACTGGTTCAGCCACAACTGCGCAACTACCGCCATCCTTAGCCTTTGTTAGTTGTACCTCATGCAACCATTTTTGCCTAAGCTGCGAGTCACTCCCCTTTTGGCTTGTCCTTCAACTCGGCGTGAGGTGCCACCACCACCTTACTGAGTCGCACAAGTCGGCGTAAAATACACAAACACACTTCCTGGTAGTTTGAAATGTCTATGGCTACAATTCGGTACCATTAGACTCATAGCCATAGTACAGTGTAGCCGTAGCCCCCTGCTATGGGCCTTTTCGAGCGGATCATGTGGTGGTCATGGTTGTCATGATGTATCGGAATGGCCACAATTAAGTGCAATGGTATATTCCTGTACGGCTACTAGTGAAAAAACGCGCAGAGCAGGACGAAATGTAACGAAGTCGGCTAACAGTTACTTGGTTTGGAACGCAGTCATCCCTTGCTCCCATACTTCCCACGTGAGCCCATCAGGACAGTACACAGATGACACGCCCATGGCTGATATATCTCGAATGTTGCCATATTCGTTGTCAAAGAACAGCATGTCGCTATAGGCCACTCCGCTGTCGTCCGCCAGTTGCTTGAAGTGCACGTGCTTGTTGGTCGGGTAGATGGCTTGGTACTCGACCAGGTTGGCCAGTGTTTCTCCCTCGGCGTTGAGACGTTTTCGGCGCTGAACTGCTTTCTCCGCTTCGGTCAACTCCTACACACACCACCCGTGTCAACATGCTCGTTTTGGTTGCCCGTTCGAACCTTGAACTGAACCATGATCAAGTTCATGCATTCACGAGCCCAGTCCGGGTATGTCGTCCGAGACGCCACGGCCACTTGTGTCTCTACAAACTCGACCCCAAACGCGATCTCGTGGAGCACTGGATGGACAGCGTCGAACAAGTGTACTTCCTCGCCGTCGCGTGCACTGACCACACCCTTGGCGCTGCGACGGAACGGGGCGCCAGCCAGTTCGTACATCTCAGGATACCACAGCGTGAAGTCCAAGTCAAACACCACGAGCTTTGGCACGCGGGTCCATGGACGTGCAGGTGTCACCGCCGGAGGTGCCGACGACTTATTGCTGTGGCGTCGACTCATTGGAAATATGATGAGGATACCAAGCCGATTTACGGTAATTATCTGAAATAGATGATAGTAAAATAGGTTGTGAAAGTGTTGGTCGTGGTAACAAACATCCGGATACGCAACCACGCAACCACTCTACCGACGATTTTGACCAGTTCTGAATATTCGATCCCCCACTGTCTGTACTGACGCATGCGGGCGATCAACATCACGACGTCCGACATGGTGTCGCTTATGATGTTCTCGCTAGCCTGCTGCGTGGCAGCCGCTGTCATGATGAAGCTGCGCGGGATGCCATCACGGGCACGGGCGGCTACGTGGATCCTTGACGACGAGGAAGAAGACGAGCAGCTCCTAACCACCGCCACTACGTTCCGTCGGACTACAAAGAAGGAACAGGACACGCCGTTCTTTTATCCAGTGCTAGACGAGTCCTTGGCATGGTTTGAGCAGTGGCGACAGGCCAAATGTCAGTGCTCCAAGGCCGGCACAATGTACGAGACTTCGGGCAAAAACTCCTCTGTGACCGTTTGAACGCGGCGCACGACGTCGGGCTTCTTCACGGGTACGATGCGGCTTGGGTTCAGGGTAAACGCGGATGCTTTATCGGCCACGGACGGTATCGCCACCGCGTGGGTCAGCAAGGCCACCCATTTCGCCTTGTCGTGCAACGACAGGGCCATGAACGTGACCATATCTCGAGGGTCGTTGTCCCCGCCAAGGTCCAGTTTGAATTCACACGGTGTGGCTGCATCGTCCGGCCATTCCACCACACGCATACCTGGCTTGAGTATCCATTCAAACGAGTGCAATCCATTGCTATTTCTCGCCCCATTGTTGTCTCCGTGCTTGTCGTCCCTTCGCAAGCTCAAGGTTGTTCTGCGCAACGTCGCCGTCATGCACACCATCGTCGCGTTGGTTCCTTGCTGGTTGGTTTGGCCGCTTTGGACGATGCGAACGGCCAATTTGCCAGACTTGTGATCGTTTCGCGAAGTCGCAGTCCGGGGTGACGAAGGCTGTCGTCCGGTCAGTTTTTTCAGCGGTCGCAGGCGGGTCTTGACGTGTGGTGGCTGCTGCTTCCATGGTCTCAATCCGGTGGCCAATTCGATGGTCGTCATGGCGGCCTCATTAGGAGTGGCCGATGTCGAAGACGACGAACCTCCTCCATTTTGTCGCTGAAAATGAAGTTGGGCCGTCAATAATAAACTTTCAGTTCGCATGTGTTCTTGTATTGGCGTCGCATCAATCACATATTGCATGACTTGGTACGCTTCGACGTCGATTCGAGGACCGTTCAACGCGGCTTGGGCCTTGGCGACGGACTCCAACCGAAGCGTTCGAATCGGGGCGTTCACGTCGTATCTCTCCGAGTAGTACGAGGTTACCGCATCGCCGTCTGGTACTTCGGTGGGAAAGAAGGGTGCCAGTTTGGTGTTGTTGGCTGCGGGGGGGGCGACTGCTCCTGTCTGGGGCGTCGACTCGCGGCTGCGGCGGCGGGCTGGCCCCAGACTCTGACTCTTCCAAAACGACCCCATCAACTTGGCCGGCACTCCCTCTCGCCCCACGTCGTCGTCGTACGTCGTGGGGGTCGGCGTCCCCACTTGGTCGACTTTTTTCCGGGCCTCTTGCACATCTGCCAGCGTCAAGGCGGTCGCTGCCACCACGTCTGTCATGGTCACGTCGCGGTTGGTCAGGTCAAAGCGGGGCAAGAACATCTCTGGACCCCCCGCGGTTGTGGCCACATAGGTGCGGGTGTTCATCACGTGGAGAGCAAGTTCGTGCAGTCTCTAGGGGACAGAACAAAGTGCAAACATTGTCAAGATAGTAGACATCACAAAAGATAGACACGTAGATGTTGTTAATCGACTTTTCAATAGGGTTGAAGGTGTATGTTTAGCTCGTACGGCGGATTCGTCGGCATGGTACTGGTCATGCTGCTTGATTTGCCGCTCGAGACGCCCGAGGTGATGCTTGGGCAGGATGGCTTTGAGGAAATCATAGTTTAAATGGTACACGACAGTGTTGGCGACGGCGGCCGTCACGCTGAACGTGGCAACGCCGAGGACCCAGATGGAATGGCCTAGTGGCGTTCCCATCACACTGCGATCGTCGCAAACATGTAGTATTCGACTAGCAATACACTCGAAACACATTGTAGACAGACACCCAATTCGGGGCATGTGCTGTGGAAGCAAGCCAAAGCAGTTTCAGAGTTATGTGTGTGTCTACCTTTCGACACTTGGGCCAGCGACGTCGACACTTGCACGACGTCGATGTTGTCGGTGGTGCCGTTTTTAGCTTGAATCGGCAGCACATTCCCCAAAAAGCACGTGCCTTCCTTGATCACAAAGCAAGTGTTGAGTTGCGCATGGATGCGAACTACATCTACGTCCACACGGCAATATGTCAGATATCTTCTTCTTGACTGATCTACAACTTCGAGGCCACCAAACATGCGATGATGTAATATACTGTACCAGTGCCTTTATGGTACTCCACAGCCTGCGCCGTGTGGTAAATGTGCGCGAGTTTGTCCATGTCGAGGCGGTTGGCCCAATGGAGTTGCTGAAAGAACGAAATGCCGCTGCGTATTGCGTCCAGCTTGGCCGGGTCCCACAGCTCGTGGAACGACTGCGACGCAAACGAAATCAATTTCGCCGCGACTTCCGCCACTGCCGACAACGATCTAAGACATAAATCCTCAAGAATAAACAACCCACACGATATTATGTGGCGTGTGCATGCAACTCGACTACACCGTGTGAGCTGCTCGGTGAGGATTTCAAACTCGCCAAACCCGCCGCCGCTTTGAACGACGTTCAAGCACACGTCTTCGAGCGACGCGTACGGCGAGTAGAGGCCGATCGTTCCGGCCACCACTACGTAGTACCGCTTGGGCGCGTCCCCGGCTTTGAAGACTACCGTAGTCCAAAGGTTGGTAACTTCGCGATGGGAAGTGGGGAGGGATGGCGTACTGATTTCGCCCTTCTCGACCGTGTCGTAGCGTGCAGACGCGACGATGGCGGAGATGGTTGCGTCCGCCATACTCTGGAACAACTCCATGTGCGACAGGTGCTTGATGATCAGCTTGATGCGCTGGCTCGCAGCTTGATCGAGCAACCGCCAGAACTTTGGCTTTAGGTCGCCGCCGTTGGCCGACGGCAGCATCGTTTCCACCACCTAGTACGCCGAAAAGAAATCGTACTGTAAATAACATCCCAGGTGTTCTACTAGAAGTAGTAGTACTATTTACTTTGTTGTTAGCTCGTTTCCAATGCGCCTTGGCCAAACTAGGGGCATGACATGGTAATCAAAAGGAAGGACGAAGTAGTGATATGGTCGACTAGTTACATGCGTTTTGAGTGCGCGTCGGACTTTTTGCTGCTGGCTGCCAGCGCTTCCCGCCGCACGACTACAAACGTTTCCCTTGGACAAAGCATCACTTCGGCTACGGATTCGGCCACTACGTCATGGAGGCTGCCATAGGTCGTACGTAGTAGTAGTGTTGTTAGTTGAATATATATATATATATATATAATTTGCAACCTGGGCCAATTTCTGGAAAACACGACCTCGCCTCCCCATACATCCCCTGCCAAGAGCGTCACGAGCGGTCGCATCCGGGTTTGTGACGCTGCCACGTCACCGCCGTCGTTCTTGCTTGAATTGTACTGGTCATTCTGAGCGGCACTGGACGCCCCGGCACTGCTGATCCTCGCGGAATTCGGCTCGTCGATGCGCAGGATGTTGGACGGGCTGGGCGACGGAGCGATGGACGAACTCCTTTGCCAGAACGGGGTGTGCTTGCTGAGCTTGGCGATGGAGGGCAGCACGGTCGAGAGCCGGCGGCGACTGCCGTCTCGACTACCGACCAACGCCAGCGTTTTCGACGTGCTTTTGAAGTTGGACGTGAGCAGCTTGGCAAACACGTTATTGCTGTGGTTGGAGGTAGCCAGCGGCGTTGAGCTGAGCGGCGGCTGCACCACAGACACGGCCACATGACCCGAGATCACCACGACCAAGTGCTTTACAAGTTCCCCTAGATGCAAGCATCCATGTTATGACAAGCGAAAGAAGGCATACGTACCAGCGCGGACGACAACGTCCCCAGGCTGCAGCTTGAGACACCTGACGTCACTGGCCACTTTGTCGGGTCGGTCGATGGGGTATCTCAGGTGCGCGAGCACTTGATTGACTTCGTCTGGGGCGAACTGAATCGTCCCGGCTGCGTCCAAGCTCCCCACTAATGCACCCGCCCCAGAAAAGTGCAACTGTCACTTGGCACGTTTCATGGGAAATGAATGGTACGTCATCACACGAAGTTGGTACCTTGCCCGATCAACTCTTTCAAGCTGCGATGTGGTTTACTCCACTCGACCAGTCGTTGAAGCACTTGGCTCGCATCGTGTTCGGAAATCGACACGATTGTGGTCCGTGACGCCAACGCCACCATCGTCACAGGGGCCCTACAATCAGAGACCAACGTCATCGTCCACACAGGATCCAATGTTGACCAACATAGGGAGGGGGGTCTATGGTCTTGTGTTACCGTCGATTGGCCGTCGATGGGTCGACAAACCCGGTGCGACACGTATCCCCTGGGACCAGAACATGGACGGACGTGCCATACATCATGGTGAACTTTTTCTCGACGGGCGTAGCTCCAGACTCACTGGTGGCCACCTGCTCGGAATGCATCGACGGCACATGTACAAACGCGTGGCCTTGAAACAAATGGACGGCGGATTCGTCAGTGGCGCGGTCGCGGCTGTGGCACCCCACGTGGCCGGCCACAACAGAAACGAACTCGTCGGTCGAGTTGTCTTCGGCGCAGACGAGGTCCCCCACCTCCAAATACCGCACCCGCAGGTACGGCACCACTTCGAGCATGATGTAGAACGGGAGGTGGGCCAAAACTTGGACGTTTCGGAAGAACTTGGCGAGCTCGTTCACGTCCGACACGCTCGGAGGGGATACGTAGCACTCCATGGCGCGAAAGCGACTTGTCGGTGCAAACGTAATGTCGGTGGCGACGTCCGCAAGACACTCAAAGTAGACGGCGGTGGGGAACTTGACTAGAATAGTGTCTTCGGCTTTGGTGAGCGCCACCCGCTGCCGTTTTCGCTTGTCCAGCACTTCGTCGGCGCCAAATACATCCCCCGGCAACACATCGACGCCCGGGTCCGATGCGTTGCTATGACAGTGTGTCCAGAACAACTCGTTTTGTAATTACGCGATGTACGTACAGTTGAACACGTACGGCACCAGCCACGACAAAGTAGATAAAGTCGGCGTCGCTCGACTTGTTGTACACGACCTTGTCGGATGGCCACGGCGGGGACCCGACGGCACTTTCGGCGAGTCGGGTGATCCACCGATCCGGCAGTTGCTGGAAGAACAGCTGCCGCTTGAACCAGAGCTTGAGGTCGCCCACATCTCCCCAAGTCCGGTCCAGCTTGGGGATAACCGCGAGGGTAGCAAGATCCGACGCCGGAACATGACTCGCCGCAATATGCCGGTACACCCGGCGGTCCAACACTACCACTTGGGTGGCTTCGGTCGCGACGAGGCTCACCACCATGTGCAGCAAGGACGAATCGGTCGTTGGCCGCCGGACGTCCGTCGGCGCCGCGCTCCAGAGGTGGAAATCGCCGTACGACTCGCCAGCGGTCACTTGGGCCAACTCAATGCCATCGTGTTGTTTTGCCACAGCCTTTGTGTTGGCCTCTAATGACCAAAAATACTAGTGTTATTCTAGACATCCGAGATACTACGTAGTAATGAAACACTACCAATAGCCGTAGCGACGTTGTGCCGGTCCAGTCGATACAAACCCAGGCACCCGGTGAGCACCACGACAATGTCATGCGACGTTATGCCTGGCCCCAAAACTAAGCGTATCGTCATTTCGTTGGGGTTGTCTGGTTGGGGTCAGGGTCATGTAAAGGTGAATGAGTACATGGTTCGTGTTTGCGAAGTTTGCGCTGCCGACAAGCGTCTACGAGTCGAAGTTGAAGCGGTGGTGGGAGCTAGGGTAAGATAAGAAGATATCATCCTGTGATTAGCTTGATAGGCATTGATTGATATACATACTTGATTCATGAATGGAAACGAGGTCAAGAATGAATGCAGCACCGATTTGCTTCCCGAATGCATCTCCTCGGTCGAGTCCTACGATTACCATGTGAATATTATTCGAATTAACACGGGATAAAAAATGGTGTTTGTGTTGGGTACTTGTCTGGCAAACACCGAGTTGGTTTTCGCTCCCATGTACGCGGTGGCGCGGTCCATGGTATCCTACCACGTTGCCACGTCATCACTACTACTACTACTAGGACCGTCGTACTTTTCGAATCGACACGGCGGTCGTGGATTCTTGAGCGAGCTACATCAACCAACAACATGCAGATACCATCAATGTTGTTCATATTGTTTTTCGATGGCATCGATATCGTACCACACTGAATTTGCGATGCACAGTGTGCTTGGATGCAATGTCCGTGAGCCCGCACTCAGCTACAAAGCAGAAAACCAAAAAGGTATGTAGTCATAGCTTCTGCACCAAACAAACTGAATGTGTCGTAGCGGTGCGTTCCGGTACCTCCTAAGAGTTCAGATTAAGATTGTTAGCACAAAAAACTCACATCCCACCGCTATGAAAGGTCGTCACACACTCCCCAAAATCAAGTGGTTCGTTGGATTCGGCGCAATGGGATGCCAGCCATTGTGGAAACTTCTCGTCGCGATTCGATCGCTGGGCGAAGGCGTCGCTCTTGTAGCCACACAAACTGCCTTCCAGCTAGAACAACTTGATGCTCACTAAATCATCCTCTACACAAGTGGAATTATGGAAGCTCAGTAGTACGATGATGTGCATGAATGAATCCCCCGTCACTTCCTCGTCCTGGTAGTGCAACACATCGCCATCTTGGGCTTTCTACAAGTGAACACGAGCATTTCTCGGTAAAGGACATAGTATGTATATGGCAATCACTTGAGGGCTTGCATGCCAACGTACTGATACGACCACCTCGGCGGTCAAGTCTACCGACAGCGTTTAGTCGGAATTGCGATGATGGATTCGTGTGACGACGTACACAGCAGGGCGTGCGGCGACAGGAACGAAAACAGGTCCCGGTCCTTTAAGAATTGATATACCACACGAATGTCGCTGTCCGTGCGATCGTAAGGCCTATGACAGCAAAGGAGGCTCAAGCAATTCAGGTTTGGCCGGTAGGTAGTTGTACTGTACGGGATGTCGAGGATGGCCAGCACCATTTTGGTTCGGTACTTTTCAAACTTCATCGAATCCGCCGTCGGTCGAAGCTGCTGCGGGGGCTGCCCGCCACCATCCACGGCATCTGTGGCGGCACCCGTGCTGCCACGGTGTGTCATGACGGGCGGTATGCAAACCGTTACGTGAAACTGCCTTTGGATTACATTCATTCATAATGTCGTATAAAAATAATTTAGAATATATTTGAAATGCATCGAGTTTGGCATTTTAAACATTGCAATATATTTAAAATCGAACATATTGTAACGCAAAAGGACCCTATGGCATTTTTGATGTCGACCGAGCGCACGCAAAAGGCGTCCTTCGCGCACGTAGCGGTGCGTCCATGAGGTTACACCGCTGATCTGTATCCCTTTCTTAACATTAGATCTATCATGTATCTTTGGCGTACAACATGCTCATGAACAAAGCCACCTCGCGGACGTGGTGGACTCGCATCTCGGACCACCTGATCCTCGGCGCATTGCCGCTGAGAGATCGCGACCATCACACACAGGTCTGAATGCATCTTCAACTTCATTCCTGTCGATCCAAGCCCACATCATCTCCAAACTTATGCCTCATCGTAGCTCAAGAACGAAGAAGGAGTTGTGGCTGTCGTGACGATGAATCAGCCTTTTGAACTGCTGCCGTCTGTGCTAGGTACCCCCGTCACGCCAGGTACTTGTAAGCCCATGTCGTTCGCAGAGATGGATCAATATGATGTAGAGGACTGGCATGACCTCGGGATCGACCAATGCTTTGGACACACTCCGGACTTTTCACCGCCTGCACTTGCCACACTCATCGCGTACCGTCTAAAGCTTCCACCATCATGGCGTAGTTCTTGATGGGATCGCTTCGTTAGATGTGTCCACTTCACCAAGAAGCATATTGACCAATGCGGGACAGTCTACGTGCACTGCAAAGCAGGCCGAGGGCGAAGTACCATCGTCGTCGCCGCGTACCTCTTGCATGAGAATGGGGGGTGGTCTGTGGACGACGCCCTTGCGTTTATCAAAGCAAAGAGGCCCCACATCGCCATGCAGAGGCCACTGCTCGTGGACTACCACCAGTACCTTCATGCAACCCAGCATCGCCCAAACAAGCTGTAACTAAATCTAGTGTGTACAATGTACTACAGTATTCCAGTGGGAAGTGTTTGCTGTTGTCGACACACTGCAAGGACCTACTACGGTACTTGTAATTTGTTCACCAAGACCCAAAGACTACCAGGAATGCATACACCCTATACAGTAGTGTACTGTACATTGTACTACCACTAGTACATACAATTACTATTATTGGTTTTCACATCAATGTGTCCCTGGCCCCGCCATGCAATATGCACACTTGAACTAGCGTGAGATGCAAAGTGAACTTAACTTTGCTGGTACTGTCTCCAATCATGCGATTCGTGTGGTGTGGATACATACATGGACAGCGCACAATAGCGGACGAAATCAACTAATCGCTAAAGTCGTCGTTTCACTCCATCAAGCTAACCGCCGATCAATGGTAGGTGCGTAGTACTAGTAGCAGTTTACGCCTTAAGAAAAACTCCCAGGTTCTCAACTGCACTTCCGCACTTCATATCACGTGCGGTGCATATGATGCAGCGGAGCTGCTGCTTATGGTTGTAGCTTGTGGAGAGACATTTCACACACACAACAGGATGGACAAGAAGAGCATGTTAGTGTTAAACATCAAACAGGATGGACAAGAAGAGCATGTTAGTGTTTGATTTGTATGAGCAGGCCTTGGCGAATGAGACTTTCGACGTCGGCCCGTCGGAGAAAGTGCGTCGAGTTGGCATGCAGCTGCACGGGGCCGTTTTCCGTGTAGATTTCGCCGCAGTCTTTGACCACGCGCACTTGAATGTACAAATCTTTCGGCGGTTGCAAGTCCTGCCACAACGACATCGTGAGATGATGTTCCAGGGGATGTTGATGATGGCATCTACCGCCGACAAGTCCAACTGGAACGCCGACATGTAATTGCTCAGGCCTTGGTCGTAGCTGTGAAAGAATTGCATTTCGCGAGCGCATAGCCTATACATACACAAACAAGTGACGTGGCAGCACGAGAAGCACGCGCTGTCGTACGCGGGAGCCAAGTTGTCTGGCACGACACTGCCCGTTTGCCATCGCAGCTCTTTGATTTTGTTCACGCGGTGGTTGCTACATGCAGCGACATTCGTGATGGAGGGTCATGGTGTTGAGGCGCGATTTCGTCTGTCGAGCTTACATGTACGCCAACGCCGCCCGCTTGTTTCGCATGAGGCACTGGTGGCTCACGACAAGCCCGCAATGCTGCGACGGATGGTTCTCGATGCCATCATCAAACATCCTAGAGCCCGATTAATGCACACAGCTGCAGCATAAAGATAGGCTCGCAGGCAGTGCAGTACTCACTCGATCTTATCTGCAATCTGCCGGTGGAACACCCCCACTTCGTCTGCAACGAGGCGCATGCCCTCTTCCTACACACACCAAACACCGTCATTCATAGCTATGTACATGTCGAGTCTCCTTACGTTGTATGGAGGCAGCCACTCGCTACGCCCGAGTTCCTTCAGAAGCTCCTTCGCCTTGGCGCACATCGTGGCCATGGTGTTGCAGCGTTGTTGGAGTTTTGAGGATTTTACTCGACCTGTTTTAGCGATTTTAGCCAATTGTTGCCAATGCAGTCTCTCCCACTAAAGTCTCCTTATAACCAATCATATCTCTATTTGAAGTGAATTCTGACCAATCCGATCGCAGTTGTCTTTACAATGTCGACTCACAGCTGTCAAGTGCGCAGTCTAAGGATGACCACCTTGCCACTGAAGTCGGCTGTAATCGGCAGTCCTGCCACCGCAGCGGTGTTGGCACCGGTGGAGGTGCTCTACTTGATCTCTTTCCTCGATCTGTTCTCCGTGTCGTTGATTGTACCGTCTCTGCCGTCCTATGTCAAGTCGCTTGGTGGAGGTAACACCCTTCGATCCAACATTGGTCGACGTCACCTCGGCTGGCTGTAGATGCGGTATCGATTGGGTACATTTCGTCGCTGTACGGCGCAATTCAGATGGTCAGTGCGCCTCTCGCGGGTGTGCTGAGCGACATCTTCGACCGCCGACTGGTGTTGCTCGTGGGCATCGCCGGGTCCGCCGTCGGGTATGCCATTCTCGGGTTCTCCATGACGCTGTCCATGGTCGTCTTCTCCCGCGTGCCGTGCGGCGTGTTCAAACACACGCTGAGCACCGTGCGGTTGGCCGTGGCCGATCAAACGTTGCCAAACGCGAGGTCCTTCCCATCCTTCCCCATCTTCCCCACACCTGATGCCCAATATGGTGTGTATAGGGCAGATGCCCTCGGCAAGATCAACGCGTACTCGAGCTTTGGGTTTATCTTCGGCCCTCTCGTGGGTGGCATCCTTGGGGCCTACCCCAACGGATTCAACTACACGGCGATGCTCACGGCGGTCGTGTTTTGCTGCAATTACGTGCTCGTGCTACTGTACGTGCCCCCTGCCAAGCCCAAGGTGGTGGCATCGAGAGAGATCTTGTGCGACGACCCCACCGACATCGACCCCATGCTCCTCGACACCGACCGAGACGCGCCAGAAGTGGCCCATGACATCCGCTCCATCGCCCGGGCCGTGCTGGACAAGCTCAGCGACTACAAGGACATTCTCGCGCTGTCTCCCATCGCTCGAAACTTGCTCAGTGTGCGTCTGCTCATGGCAGCTGCGGCCATCTTATTTCGGTACGATATAGTGCTTTCAAGCTAAATGTGGTATCTTCGGTAGATTCGGCGAACGACGTCAAATCATCGAGAAGTCGTTTTACTTGAACTAACTATACTCACTATGAATCCTGTCAATGTTGAACTGTTTGTGAAATCGAAAAGCTTGGTATTGCACCGGATACACCTGCAATTTGATTGGTTAAAAGGTTTTTATTCGAACATTTCATTGGCTACTTCGGTCCGTCGTTTACTGCGTCGATTTATTTTGCTTCGTCGATTCGATTGGTAGCCCCAGTCCATTTTGAAATCGAATGACCAATATATGAATGTATATATATATATATATATATATATAATTGTATATGTGTGGTTGACGTTGATTCGCATTTGGGTAGAACTTGAGGTTGTGGATAAGGTTGTGTGTCAACGGTAGTTTCGCTGGGATGTAGAAGTTAGTGCAAATAATTGGACAAATGGTACAATGTTAGTGTAAGATATATAGTTGCCTTGGGATATTATAATTAAGTGCAAATTGACGTAATATGGAAGATACAAATTCTCGATTCACAATATTAATATTGAAGTAGTAGTACAGTACCTGTGCAATGATTTTATTTTTAATACAAAATTGAAGTGACCGTAATATTTGTAGGAGTCACTTTATGCTGTTGTTGGAAGAAAAGTATAACGCGTCGTCCACTACGCGGGGGTACGTTTTGAGTTACATGGGCGGGTTGGCAGCGTCCAGTGGCCTTGTCGTCGGCCGGTTGGTCGCTTGGTACGTCGATATATATTATACATATATATACTAATATGTACAATATTTCTGCGACAGGGTGCAGTCCGAGACGCTGCTGGTGCAAGGCGCGAGTGTCGTGTACGTGCTGACGTTTCTCAGCATTGCCATGTCGACCTCGCTACCCATGGTCCTCGCCCTGCAAGCGCCACAAGTGGTGGCCATCAGGTATTTATTGTGAATTCTCTATCCAATACTCGCGTAGTTTTCTAAGCCATGTTGAATCAATCTGGATGTTCTCATTGGCTGAATACTTTTCTGGAAGAGCCAATCAGATCCACTCAAAGTTGGCGCTGAAATTTGGACTCGACAGAGTCAGATTTTAAGCTTATTCAATGTATGGTATAACATTTCAAGATAAACATTTGAGTGATAAACATTTGAGTGGGGCCAACAATCGATGATTGGATGAAATTTCATATTAGTGCACTTTGATTGGCTAGGATATTCTCAAATACATTTGTCAAGTTCCAAATTGAAACGGATTTGACAATATAATCTTGATATATATTTGCACCGAATCCACTACATATACTCCTTGCAATCAACAAGTTGCTCGATGTGGCTACATCCATTCCTAATTGAGATACAAATGGTACAGTGTGCTGCGAGCGTGCTCCGTGTCATTGCAGACGGCGTCCGTAGCGCCGGAATCCCTTGGAGGCATCATGGGAGTGTCTGATTCGCTCACGGTATTACCCTGGAGGATATATATATATATACAAAACTGCAGCATATAACTGTGGATGGTGCCTTGTAGGCATTGGCGCGAACCGCGGGGCCTTGTACGTGTGATTGTACTGGAATATGTATGAAGAAACGACATGAGAGGTTGTTTGGTGTAGTGCTGTCAGGGTATTTGTATGTGATGTCGTCTGCCGGGCCTGCGTACGGCGCGACGGCGCTGGCCACGGTCAGTTGTGTGCTGTTTTATGCGACGATGGTGCGCACCCACGCCCCGCACGCCCCGATCGTGGCTTTGCATCGAAACCACGACGAGTAAGCTAGCTATCATTGCGACCTGTCATAGGAAACTCAACCCAACACTTTTGGGTGTGTATATGCACCATAAACTGACTATTTTCCTGTCGAAAATGACCTTGTTTGGAAGCTTTTAACTTGAGCTCGTACTTGACGACGACGTCGATGGGCCCAATGCAATGCTGGGGAAGTAATACGCCGCGCCAGAACCATTCTACAGCATTTTAGATATATATATATGAGGGACATACATAGCTTCAAAATGGAGGCTTTTTGCAAAAACATGGCAATAGAAGAAATATATCAAAATGGAGAGTACACTTTGTAAAAGATGCAAGTTCTATTTACATATTTACAGCAGTTAGATGAGAGTTCACGAATAAATAGATTGGATACTTTTAGGATATAGGGTTATTGTCGAATATGACTTACCTGGTCTCCTCCATCCAGCCACACCATGCCTTCCCGCAAGAGAACGTTCAGCGCCAACGTACTTCGATTCGCATCCCACCCCAATCGGTCCGCCAACGTGGCGACTGTCACCACCCCTTGCGTGTCTTGGGCGAGCAGCAAGATGGACGAATGGTCTTGACTTAGCTCCACTGGTACAGTCACAATCTGTACATGTTTGTCAGCATCACGATCGATTCATGCATTGAGTGAGCATGCATGCAACGTTACCATCGTTTTCATGCCAAGTTCAATCACGTTAAAGCCTTCGCCGAGAACTTTGAGCTTCTTCACAGATCGCTTGATGTCGTCGTCCGAGATCTTTTGCATCATGGGCCCGCGTCGCTGGTCCAGCAGCGCGAGAAGGTCCTGGATCGCAATCAATCCGCCGTTCTTGTTGCGCGTCAAGATGCACACTTCGATGATTTGCACAGCCAGCTCGTAGTAGAAATCGCCCATGTCCAGCAGCTCGGACCAAAACCCTTTCTGGGATGCGAGGGGGTCGACCCCAATCTTGGCACACATGACCTGGAAGCGCTTGCGAAACTCGGGATCCTTCTTGATCTGCGACTTGTACTTGACCGCGAACGTTTGCAAGTTGGTCTTGAACACCTGCAGCTGCTCTTGCACATGCGTCAAGTGGTTCTGTGTCAATTGCGCGCCCACTTCCTCATACGCCTTCTTCTGGTCCTGCTTCCACTTGACGGCTCCAATGCCCATCTTGCCTCGCCTCATGATGACGACTCGGCGGCGTGTTCACGGTCAAGTCGAGTAATTGAAGTAGGTTTTTTAAAAGTGTTTTGTCCAATCACCGACAAGAATGAATTTTGACGAATCACAACGAGCGACGACAAATATATCAAGTCGACGACATTTGGTCGAATTTACAAATTTGTTTGGATATTTGACGGAATCATGTCATATTCGCTCAAACGTTGATGGATTGCTCATTGCTGAAGATAAGGTGGGCAGTACTACATTTAAATGAAAGGAGCTCCATGGTGCATATGTGGTCTACAACTATTACGATGACTTGATTGACAGAACGTTGACAAGCACAAACAACAGTGTCCGAAAAAGAGGTAGAAATGTTGAATTTTGAGGCAATTTCGTTGGAATTTTGAAGAATATTCGTAAATACTTTGGTAAAAAGTGAGGTCGTAAACCATTCTCGTTCCAAGTAAATTACTTTGACGTCATCACCTATTCAATAATATACCTTGTGAAAATAGATACTCAATTCCAATCAAATTAATGCATTTTACCTCTATATTCGAATACACGCTGAAAGTGGATGTGTCGAGTATGACGTGGCGACGCGTCGAATAAAAAAGTGTAGTTTCACTACCAGCGCGAAACTCACTTGAGTTTTGTATGGTGTCCCCTGGCTGCCTTCTTCATTTTCTGTTTGGCAGTGAACACTCGCGGCAAAGATGTTCTTCCTGGACTGGTTCTACGGCGTGCTCGGCTTCCTTGGTACGTACCTCCTCCTGTAGATGGAGCTAGTTAGGGGGCGGAAGCATGCTGCTACATGTCGGAATATGACCCTCATCATGGTGGTGCGCCCATAGGTCTTCACCACAAGAATGCCAAGATCCTGTTCTTGGGCTTGGACAATGCCGGCAAAACCACCTTGTTACACATGCTCAAGGACGATCGTGTCGCAGTGCACGAGCCGACTTTGCATCCCAGTACGTCCATCTTCGTCCTTCTCCCCACGGGTGGCTAACATGGCATGCACGCAGACTCGGAAGAATTGATCATTGGCAAGCTGCGTCTTCGCACGTTCGACTTGGGCGGGCACGAAACCGCGCGTAAGTTGTGGCGCGACTACTTTGCCACCGTCGACGGCGTCGTGTTCTTGGTCGATGCGTTGGACCGTGACCGTTTCCCCGAATCCAAGCGCGAATTGGACACGTTGCTCGGGTGCGACGAACTCGCAAGCGTGCCGTTCCTTGTGTTGGGGAACAAGATTGATATCCCCCGCGCGGCGTCCGAGGACGAGCTGCGCGCCGCGTTGGGTTTGTACGAAACCTACGGCAAGGAAACCCGCGGAAACCGCGATGCCAACATCCGTCCCATCGAATTGTACATGTGCTCCGTGGTGCGGCGAATGGGGTACGCAGATGGCTTCCGTTGGATGTCCGACTTCCTATAAACTGTACACACCACGCCACGAATCCACCTGCGGTCGGTCGCCTCTGCTGAGTGTGCTACACGACGACGGACCCGAAGGCCACCGGATGGATTGGGCGCTCGTTAGTGTGCATAATTTTCCTAACAACGATGCATGCAGGTTCCTTCTTATGCTGCCATATGACGTACGATACAAACATGCGCATGGTTGTGGTCTCCACGAGCTTCTGATCAAACGCAATATACCTTTGTATCGATTTCAACTCGCCACGTCACTTTTCATATCCTGTGTGCAATAATGTTGACATATAGTATTAATACCCACACAAGTGTCTATAAATACATTGGATACAGTAACCTTGCCAATACACGTTGTAACGCTTACATTTCTCGCCCGCCATCACGATAATGGTGGTCCTGTATATGGCATCACTTCTTTGGGCATGAGGTATGTAGCTAGCTCTCCAAGCGAGGTCTAATATACTCTTACGTCAACGTGGCATGGCCGAGTGTATATTTAGACACTGACAGTAAATATATACATGTGTCTCCTATTCCCAGTAGCCCCAAGCGACACATCATGGTTCCCCCCCTTCGTTACTTCTTCCCGTAGCTACCTGCGCCAGTCTTGCACTAGCAGCATCATGCGTACGTGGTTGGTTGGGGCGTTGACGGGCATATTCGCGGCCGTGGTGGTGCAAGGTCATTCGTGGATCGGTACTCCCTCCACCCCCCATCCTCGCTTGTAGCCAAACATGGTCAATCCTCCAATCGTAGAATGCTCCAACTACGTGATTCAATCGGACGCCGACAAGAACTATTACAATCCGAAAAACTGCGTCGGGTTCCCTCGATGTGCCGCTGCCCGTGCGTGAGCATATATCCACGTTTGTCCATCATGTAATCATCATGTGTCAATCTACCATGTCTAGGCGGCGACGTGTTTGGGTTCGAGGGACCGTTGCAGTACCAGCAAACGACCAAGTCGTGCCAGTGCAGCCGCGACGCGTCTAATGCGTACACGGCGGCCAATCCCAAGGCCAAATACACGCCCGGACAGCGGGTGTGTCTGGCGTATCCGGCCAAGAACCACGTGGCCGACTCGTGTACAAACCAGTACATTCCCGACTCGGGGATGCGCATCTACCGGTCCGACAAGGGCGAGACGGCCGACCCCGCCTTGTTCAAGTGGCCGCACGAGTACAACCACCTCAACGGCGTCCACGTCAACGGCGTGATCGACTACAAGGGATTCCAGAACTGCCCCAAGTTTTGCGAGCAAAAGGACAAGGCGCTGTGCACCGTGTGCTTTGACCTGGAGCCAGATCTGGCCGTCGGCGCATACTCGTTTCACTGGGAGTGGTCGTTCAACCCAGGGCAAGACCGGTACGTGAGCTGCTGGGAAGTGGACGTCGTGACCGGATCCGCCCCTTCCCCGTCCGTGACCCCCAACAGCAACACATCTCCAACTTCGCCACCATCTAAAAACAACTACCCGAAAGGCGGCGGCGACGAACTTGAATGCGACGAATAGTAGATCAGTGAGCATAATGCCGATGGATACATACATGGACGTGAAGTGCGTGAACACTCTTTCCCTATCAATGGTTGTTCATTTCATTCAGCATTCATGTCGGAATCGACGCTTCGAATTGCACCCTCCATACAAAAGAGGTGTTCGGGGGGGGGCCGCTGCCATGCCGACATGTATTGTAAAGCCTCTACCACGTTCCGTACGTTATTACCGAACAATGGATGACTTAGATTAGAATGGTGTCTATGGTTATGGCGGCGTTGTGTGTGGAAGGGGGGGACTTGGGTCGAGGGGAGGGGGAACTTCAAGTCGACTCGAGCACCCACGGATGCTGCATGATCTGGTCTAGCGAGAGCCGCCGACTCGGGTCTTGCACCACGAGCAGCCGATTGAGGAGATCTCGAACGGCCGAACTCACGTGAGTCATGCCCCAGCTGTCGAGCATTTCGTTCATGCGGCCCGTGGCGATCATTTGGAAGCGCGGATCCATGTCGTCTGGCCGTTCGAACGGCGGGGCGCCTGTGACCATGATGAATAGCATCACCCCCATCGACCAAATGTCGGCCGCGAACCCGTTGAACGGCACTTGGTTGCGGTAGATCTAGCCAAGATGACGGTCGGGTTTATATATCTACATCCTAATCGAATACCTCTGGAGGCATGTAAAAGATCTTCCCCACAGCCCCAGACGGCGGCAACGCGTATGTCATGCCGTTTGCATCCACTGGAATGCCCACACACAGCCCAAAGTCGATGATCTATCCAGGCAATGTGTTGTTGTCATTGGTCAGAACTTTTACTTCATCTACACGGAGAGGTTTCGATCATCGTGGGGATGTTGGTACCTTGGACGTGTTGCCATCGAGCAAAACGTTTTCTAATGACATGTCGCGGTGGCAAATGTATCGGCTTTGCAGGTACGCGACCCCTCGGAGCACTTGGGTAAACCAGCGGCGGCACTCGCCTTCGTCCATGGCGCCGCCTGTTTCAACGAGGGAAAACAGTTCGCCGCCCCGGCAGAACGGCAGCACTGCGTAGATAAACTCGGGGTCGTGCAGACATTCAATCTACGTGGACACAGCGCTGTTAACCTCACAGGTAGATAGATGGTGATGGTGGCGGGTTCAACCAAGGTGAGGACGTGGGGATGGCCTGGTGTGGACAGGTACTGCTGCGTGGCGAGCTCGACAAGAGGGTTTTCCTGCAGATTCCCTTGTTGGATGATGGCTTTGCTCATGACTTTGATGGCCACCTCGACGTTCGTCCGCACGAACGTGCCGTTCCCGTTCGGATGCAATCGCAGCTGCACGGCGTGCTTGACCTTGCCGTAGATGCACTTGCGCAGTGTCCGCACAAACTCATACACGTGACCCGATCCAGAGAACAAGCACGGAAACACACCCACGCCCATGATGTGGCAATTCCGAAGCTCGGCGTTCATGAAGTGCACTTCCTGCGGGATGCACGACTGGAAACCCTGGGCGTAGTCGTGCATGTCGCTGCCTGTACGGAACACTGCATCTGTGGGTTCGATGCGAATACCCAGCGCTTGCAACTGCGCCGCCAGTTCACTCATGATGTGCGTTGTTGATGTCGAAAGCCACAGGATCTGGCGCTCGTTCTGCCAGGGCGGTTGCGCTGTTTTTGGTGCCACCCCCCATGCCCATGGGTCGTATGTCATCACGTAAAATACAAGTTACAAAGCAACTTGTATATGGCCTTTTGTATACTAAAATTCGTGTGTTTGTGACAATTAAATATAGCCATCGTTTGAATTGGAAAAACCAATTGATGGAATTAAATACATCGCAAATATGAAATTTCAGAGCAAACGTCAGGACGTACAGGAAGCTGCAACCTGAACGCTGTGCCCAATTGTGACATAACTTCACTAGTACTTCGAAGTGAAGTTACTACTGGGGTACTAGTACCCCAAGAGTTTCAAAGGTAATGTGAAGCAAACGATGGGAACTTGCTACATGATTATCCTTGATGCATACATGTTGCCTTTGCTACTCCGCCGCGCCGTCGTCCTCGACAGCGTACGACAACAGCGCCGCCGCCTTGTCGTCTTCGAGCGCCGCAGTGTACTGGTCGTTCGTGTCGGGGTACATCGTGCTGGGGTCGGTCGTCTTTTGTTTCTTAGACGGTTGGATGTGGTACCCCTCGGGGTATTCAAACGGTGCGGGGGCGGTTGAGATGTTGCGCGACTTGAGCATGGCCACGACCGCGTCCGCGTCGGCGCGCTGCGCCGCCTGCTTGGCGACGGGGTTGGGGTCGTCCATGGCCCACTTGATGCTCAGGATCTCGTCGCCTTCCAACGCTTGGTTGCCCATGGCTTCCTTGGCAAACTCGGCGGACGTCCGATGCCGATACCGGACGAAAGCGACGGCAAGGCGGTGCACAATGTTGACGTTCTCCACTTCACCCCACTCGACAAACGCACTCATGATCACATCCTCCGTCATGCTCTTGCTTTTGAGTCCCCCCACGTACAACGTGCGCGAATTCCGCATGAAATTCCCTACAAAACGATGTCACATTTTGATATTTTTTTAATAATTAAAAAAAGGTACTTCTTGTAGAAAATATATGCAATCGTCTACACGCAATATTTGGTGTACTAAGCTAAGACACACACAAATTAGTGTGAAGGACACTTCCACACACAGTGCACGACTAAAAAGGTATCGAGTGACCGATGTGGCGAAGCTGTACCTGTGCCGCTCATGTCGTCGCGGTCGGTGGCGTGTCGTTCGCGACCGAAGCAGTCGTGCAACATCCCTAGCCGCAACTCGTCCGCCATTGTCGGCAGCCGGTGGAAGTAGTTGCACCCGGCGCCGCGCGCACACCCACCGCGCGCGAAATGGAGGCAGAAGAACTTGTTGGCCTTGCCGATCTTGTCGGCCTTCGTGTGCCCGGCATCTGTTTCGAGGCAGCAGCGGTGCTCGGCTGGGTCCTTTTCTTTTGTGTTGTCCCAGTGGTCGCCAATGTACTTGTCGTACCAAATGTTGTACTCGTTCGCGCCTTCCATGCGCGTGTTCCGGTTCGGCATCGCTTCGATCTGCTTCCGCGCAGGACGCGCAAGGTACTTGGTGTTCAGGTCCTCGTACTTGTTGGAGTTGTCGTGGCCGGCTTGGCCGCGTCCAAACCACCCCGTTGAGTGCGGCGCCGCGCCCATTTCCTTGGGCCGTTCCCACTGCGTTTCCTGGGACTCGATGTGATAGTAGTAAATCTTGTTGGTCGATGGATCCAATGCTTCGCGCCATTTGCTGCCTTCATTTGTCTTGCTGTACACCAGCGCGTCCGGCGCTTGCACCTTTGGGGCGCGGCACCGCAGACAACGCGGTCGACGCGCGTAGTTCTCGTGCTTGCATTCAGAGCAGAACCAGTTCTTCTCGTATACCGTGTACGCAGCTCCTACTTCACCAAGGACTCCCACGGCCGTCAACTTGCGGGGAAGACTCTCATCGAGGCCAGTCGTCGGTGTTGCCTTCGATGCCATGCTTAGCACCAGAGGATGATCGATTTTACCCCTTCCGGATAATGCTAAGAGACTACGGATACGAAAGTGCATCTTGAAAAACCATTTTAAATGCCATTTGGTTTTAAATGGGTTTTAAACAGATACTATCCATTAATACGATTTAAAATGTAATCATTACAAAAAGCAAGACACAATCCACCCGTGTCTTTTAAAATTCGATAGAGCCAATCATGGACGCGCATTACGAGTTTTGCTGGCGCGATGATGGAACAGGACTTGGATGGCATTGGCTTGTCGGCCGATGCACTGGCCGCGTTGCGAGAATTTGCCCTCGAGCGAGGGATTACCGTAGAGGACGACGATGAATCCTTTGACATTCGCAAGGAAGTGCAGACGGCACTGGAAGAGGAGAAGGGTCCCAACGAAGACAAGTTCACGTACAGCTTCGGCGACGACATTTCCATCCAGCTCAATGGCCTCCGTCGCGATATAGGCCAGACGCTCAACAGTACAGGGCTGACGCTGTGGCATGCTGGGGACTTCTTGTCCGACTTCATGTTCAAGCATCCTCACTTGTTTGCTGGCAAGCGTGCGCTGGAGGTACGTTCAACGATGTGATGTCCGTGCATGACACGGCGTGTCTAGCTCGGCAGTGGACTGGGTCTATGTGGCATCTTGGCGTGGCATTTGGGCGCTCAAGTATTGATCACGGTAGGACTATTAAATGAATGATCAACACGGTGAAAACTCTGATAGGACGGCGACGACGAGTCCATGGTGCTGCTGGAAGAAAACTGCAAGTTGAACGGTCTGGACACTGACGTGTGCTGTCAAAAGCTGCTGTGGGGCGAAGACCTGGCCCCCGAGACGCAAGGCACGTACGACGTCCTCATTGGTGCCGACATCATCTACGAAAAGGACTACGTGGGCCCGCTGTTCGCCACCGCGAGTCACTTCCTTGCCCGATCCTCGGACGCCAATATTTTCTACTTGGCCTACACCAAGCGCAATGTGTCGATCGATTACGTCTTGGCGTGTGCGACGGACGCTGGTTTTACTTGGGTTGCTCCCACCACTGACGAGGGCATTTACGAATTCAAGCTAACTCGCAACTAAATATCCACATTGTGTTGTTACGAAGGTAGTCTACGCAGGTGCAAACTGACTTGTGTACATGCTGAGAAATACGCATACTTGTCCGAGAATTCAACCTAAAAGTGATGGGAGTAGCGTTCCGTACAAACTGGCCACTACTAGTCGTTGCATTGATAGATGAAACTCCGTTGCGAGGTAGTTAGTACCAGCTAGCATTTCATGGACACGACAGAATTTGCGATTTAGTGGTTGGTTAAGATGGCTTTACCCGAAGGACTGCGAATTCTGGCTTCTGAAAGTAAAAGGTGAATACGACATGGTGACATACAATTTCATACCCGTCAATGAATCCCTTGTCCGGATAAATAGTTGAAACGGCTCCAAATTGACGCCCACGACCTTTGGGACGGCGTTACGATCACAGATTTATCTGCCCATTAACCTCGAGTAATGCGTTGGACTGCTGCTCTTTGTGGCTTCATTGCTACGACTTGGCCAACTGCGGTAGAGTCCAAGGTGAAGGGCCACTGCACCGCCATCCTTGTGGGGGCCAAGGTAACACACCTTTTGCGACAACTTTAATCTGTGGTCCATGACAAATCTACGCAGGCGTCCGCACATGGCACGCCCATGACAACCCACAGCAACGATTGTCCGTCTTGCGACTTTCGCTTGGCCAAAATACCTCCCCAAACTCATCCGATCGGTAGCCAGCGCGACGTATACGTGTTTTCGCCGGATTACCCTCGCTACGGTAGGCGCGTCATTACAAAAGTCGTCGTGAGACTGATGTTTAACCGTTTCGTTGCATGTGCAGTGGGGACGACTAGAGGCCCAGCATATGATCCTGCCTTGGTGGACCGGCGGTTCTTCAACTGGACCGACACAACGCCGATAGCCCAAATCCCCCAAGTACCGTCAACCTACGGTTACATTGAAGGCGTTTACCCCATCATGAACGACCATCGTGTGGCGATGGGGGAAAGCACATGCGCTGCGAAATTCGTGTCCAAACCGGTCTCAGGGGGTGGCCGCGCGCGTCTGGACATTGTCGAGTTGGGGCATTTGGCGTTAGAACGAACGACTTGTGCCCGTGACGCCATCGCTCTGATGGGGGGGATGGCAGAAACGTATGGATACTACGGGTCTTTCTGGGAGACGCCCAGTGCATTTGAGAACGCAGGGGAAGCGCTAACTATAACCGATCCGACCGAAGCGTGGATGCTGCACATGCTCCCAGACGACACTGGAGAGTCCGCCATTTGGGTGGCCCAGCGGGTACATGACAACCACGTCGCCGCCGTGGCCAACCGATTTGTGATCCGAGAAATCAACTTCACCGACACGGACCACTTCATGGCGTCGGCCAATGTACTGGACATCGCCAAGCGTCATGGATTCTGGGACGGCGTGGCCCCCTTTGACTTTACCGACGCGTACGCGGGCCCGCCGGACGTGACGCTCTCTTCCTCCCTCCGCGTGGGCCGAGTGTTGAGTCTGGCCAACAAAAATGTCAACGTGGACACGTTTGCGGACACCACTCCGTTTTTTTCGGCCAAAGTGGACACGTTACTAACTGTCCAAGACGTTATGGGATTCCAGCGCGATCACTACGAAGGCACAAAGTTTGATTTGACAAAGGGACCTGCGTCCGGCCCCTATGGCGACCCCAATCGATATGGTTGGTGCTAGTATATATGGCTACTACTATGTACAAAGGACCAAATGCTACTGTACCAACTACTTGAATATAGAAATCGCCGACGCTGACGTGGGGACTGGACACTTCGAACGAGCCATTGGCATATACGAAGCCACGTATACGTTTGTGTCAGTGCTGGATGCAACGAATAGACACAACGACCACATTTGGTACGAACCCTAACAAGGCATGACATTTGAAGAGTGTGACATGGTCATTTCAATCATGTGAAATTCATTTTGAGACATGTGGAGCAGGTTTGGACCGTACTCGCCCGACTCGACGATTTACACCCCGGTATATGCCTTGGCCACGGCCATTCCGGCGACCTTGCGGCACGGTTCGTTGCGTGAGTTTGATATGCACTCTGCCTTTTGGATCAACGCCCTTATTGGCAATTATGCATCGAAATGGTATGCCTTTGCGCACCCGGTGGTGTCAGCCTGCCAGATTCAGACCGAGACCCACGCGCTCGAACGTACGTAGTAATTTCCTTTCTATGCATCAATATATATATACAATATATGCAATGTAACGTGGCATGCCAATAAGTGATATATGCTACCGGTACTACGAATGAGTCCTCTCATGCTGATGGATGTGACACATGTAGTGCAAAATACCATCCACGCCAAGGCGAATGAAATTGCACAAACTGAAAACCCTGCGTTACTGGGCGAGTTCTTGACCAACGCCACCGACACATTTGCACAAACAACGCATCTTGCGTCGATGGCTTTGTTTACGGCGCTCGTGACGACGTTTCATGACGGCGTAATCATGTCCAACTTAACCGACGAGCACCTGGTGGCCACGTCCATGTCCATGCCTCGGTGGTGGCTGGAGCTCGTGGGCTTCTACCCGCCGACCACTGTCGGACTTTCAGCTCAAAACTGTGCTCCTTTGGCATTTCAAGGGGCAGTGATAGCCATGTGCGCCGGGCTCGTGGGGTTTTTACTGGGTCGGCAATCACACGTCCAGCGCAAGTATCTACCGATTAACTAATAATCCGACGGGTGATGGTGGCACGAAAAACTGTGCGCTGTAGATCAAGCTCACATACTGTAGCTTGTCGTTATTGAGCACAGCCAGTCTGTCATAAGACCTAATTAACGTTACAGTATATCTTGAAGGGCGACACGATTATAGATAGTATAATGTGAAATTCTAACGATGTACATGGATGGACGTCCTAAGGGTACTACCGTTCGTGACCAATGGCTCGTAGCCATAATTGTTTACTTGAATCTGACCTCTTGGCTATTGGCGACCTTTGAAATCCTAGATTTCTGGCATCATCGAGTGTTAGGTTATCTTCGATTGCATATACACCCAACGACAAATATTACGCACTTCTAACTTGAGCACTTTCCCATCGCACTTTATACGAATCAAGGTTATCATGTTCGATATCTGTGGCATCAGAAGTCGAAAACAACAGCGAGGGGGTCGGGAACCATTCGTGTTGGGCCAGCTACAAGCCCAACCAAAGAAGCGTTCACGACATTCTCGTTGGACTCGACAGTGACTGGTCATTGTGTACTCGAAGCCGGGAAAGTGCAATTCTGGCCTGGCTCAAACGACCGGCATGGACAACGTGTTTGCGAATTTGGTGCAGTGCCAAGACTCAAAACATGATGTTCGTGGGCCGTGGAAACGTGTATATCGTTTCATCCTATCAAGTCCAAATCAAAGATGAGGGCAGTGGAGACTTGTACGCGAAACTCGGCGCGTCCACTCGAATTCTCACCAAATTTCGCCCCATACCCTCCACTGTGGTCCTAAATCGTCCTGCCCATCCCCGAGACCAAGGCGTTTCGATCCATCGAGCGGGAGTTGTCGCGATTGTTCGATCGTCCACGGTCCTCCCCACCGCCAAGCCAGCAAATACCTTAAGTCAGCCGACTGCAGTCCTGATGCAGCGGTTTCGAGCTGTATCGCTGGCGTTTTGAATCTGCGCTATGTTGTGTTGGCGATCGTTGTGCTGTTCACGCTGCGCCAATGTGCAAGACTGCAGGAACGGCCCAACCACGTCGAGTTTACGTTGGTAGCGACACCTACACCTTCCACCACGAACAAAGCATAAATAACACACTTTTAATACTACTGTAGTAGCGATTTGCTGCACATTGTTCCTTATATTTGTGCTTAGCTCGTACGGTACAGTAGGTGTGTCCACTCCTTCATTATCTCAATCTACCTAACGTTAGAAAGCCATACTCATTTAACTTGCCACGAGGAATTGTTGGTCGTTTTTGCACGGATTTGTCTAGAAAATGCGCCTTCTTAGTAAATGGTCATGAAACCATGAAACGTTGCCGTTCGTGGCCCATCGACGTCGTCAAAACAGAACCCACACGTATAAACGCTCCCAAAATTCCTGGCACCTTCTGCGGGCTTATTTCTCATTCTTGATTTTACTGTTATGAACATGTGGATGAACCAAATGAAAGTTTTCAACGCAACCTCGTCCTCCGACATTCGCGGCCTTGTTTTGCGCAACACGGGGGGATATGTTTTCGAAGACCGGATCAACCCAAACCGTCGGTGGTGTTTCGAGCGAGCAGCTCCAACGTGCTAAACGCCCTGACCATCAACGTCATCCCTGGCAACATCCTCAACGTCCTGGAGCTGGCGTTTTGTAACGACGTCACTCCAGTGGCGTCATAGGCTTATCGACCAATCAGAACAGACGTCACTGTTGACGTCAGTTTACGACCAAGCTCGATTGGCGTGCGGCGTGCTCGGCCATGGACACCAGAAGTTCCTTCTGCAGAGCGCACGTATATATAGCATTAGATATAGTATAGTCACAGTAGTCATGCATGTAGATGTAGATAACGCCAATCAATCAGTTTTACAATTTCCTCTGCGTTATCAACTAACTCCCTACACGTTTGCACAAAATGTCAAGGTGGACGGTCAATATTTGATTAACATTTACATCCCGACAAACTCAATCCAGTACCTGCAAACAGACCAAGGGGGCGACACGGTGGTGGCGCCACGTATTTTCACTGCCAACGCATCGATGCCCATTTCGATTTCGTCGTTTGGCGCTGGGTCCATTGTGATC